AAAACTAGGTATAATTTTGATTCCTTCACACTGGAAGTTGTGTTGGCTCTTGTCATTCTTTTATTTGACGGTCTAAGGGAAAAGAGGTTGGTGCCCCAAGGTCTGGTATGGCATGTTTTAAAAATTCTTGTGGCACACCAGGGTGCTATGGCACATCAATTGAAAATTGCTGTGATAGAAGAACATTTAGATAAACCTAACAGTTGGAAATAAATCACTGTCATGTAAATAAAAGAGAGTTTAGGATCAGAAATATCTGTTGGGCAGCCAGCAACAGAGTGACCATCATTCCCATCCAGTGTGGGAATGAGCAGGGCTCCTGTGGAAGGACGATGGAGAGGCGACATGGGAGGCAGGTGGAAGCTTTGAGGGTGGCCCATGTTGTAGAGCAGCAGAAGAGGGGACAGAAGGGCCCGTCGCAGTGTTGACTGAGTGTAATGTGAGGAAGAAGGAAGAACAGGTGATCACTCAGTGCTACAGAGAGGAATCGGGGTAGACAATGGCATTGAATTTGGCAATTCTCACGTGAGGGCTTTGGTAGCTTTGGAAGGTGGCATTCCAAAGTAGAAGTACACAATTGAATTAAGGTCTTAGCAATAAACAGCACACTCAAAACAGGTAATTTGAGGACAGTTTAATAAAGAAATTATATACAAAGGTGTGGGCAAGTTTAAAGAAATCAAGAAGGAATGAGGTAGTACTAGTAGCAAGTGGGGAGATGGTGTCATCCCTAGGCCTAAAGGGGCAAGGGAAGGACAAGGTCACTGGGACCAGAAAGAGGAATAGCCATGTGGAAGAGGCCACCTGACTGCACCTGCAGTATGTGACAGAGGTATTCAACCCTACTCCTGCCATTGTTCCCGTTGGCCAAATACAACAAGAAGTTCAAGACCACAAGAGCCCATTGATGTGATCCATGCAAGTGATTTTCCTAAGACACAGAGCAGGGTAGAGACTGGATTTGGACTCGGAGGGGTAAGCAGGCAATATTTAGCAAAAAGATAGAAAACAAATAATAAAATGGGGATATTAACCAACTTATGTGAGAAATCCACTTTTATCAGAGTAAACTTCTATATGTTAAAAAAAATTAATAATTTTCTTTACAAATGCCCTGCTTTGCAAGATGACTCTAAGCCTAAACAGGAGTGAGATAGAAATTTTATCTTTTATATATCAGTTTTTTCTTTATTATTGCTAGTCTACCCTGGCATTCTGCATTCTATTGCTCCTGGTTTGTCTGCTCTTATTATTAAGTAGAACTTGAGCCCCAATTGCAAATGGTATTATTAATACCTAAAAACAAAAGGTTTCATTCAGAGGTACTTTTTTCCATACATAAAAGCACTACTATTTTGTCATTAGTGAGCGTCTGTTAAATGTGTAGAAGATAACAAAATTTCTTTTGACTTTTCATGTCTTAGGTTGACAGACTCATTTACATTGTATGTAAGGAGAAATTGTGTCAATAGTAATTGGCATTAAATGAGCTTATTTTTCCCACTGAGAATTGATCAAGAGTCTTTGTTTACATGTTAGCTCATTATAAGGGTTTTATTAATTCTATTCTATAAGTGGCTTGATAAGCAGATTCCATTAGCCCATAGGTGTTAAAAGTGCTTTTACAGCTATAGTTCCAGTGTATCTTTTATAGTTCAGATAATATCTGAGGTTTGATTGTATCAAAATACACCAAAGAGGCTAGTGTCTCAGAGACATACTAGTTACCAGTTACAGAGCAAGTAAATTTAGATTAAGCACAAATGGAAATCTATTCTGTACTTATGTAAATGTATGCTTATTCCTTTTTTGAGATAATCCTGTGGTCATCCCGTAGAAATAATCTGTAGGAATTGTAGCTAAGAGTCCCAGAAGACTAGAACAGGGAATCTGGGAACCCTTGGGTACCTTGGCTGCCATTCTCTCCCTTCGTGTCTCTTTCTGAGGTCGCGTGAGTTTCTCTTTTCTATCAGTCTTTGTTCATCTGCTTCATCTTTTGTTTTAATAGACTATATTTTCCTGTTTTACTTTCATACGGTCTAAATATGGCCTTTGCAGCCCCTACCTTATGCCTTTGACTTAGAACTATACCCCCTGCAGCTACCACCGCCCCCGAGTCTTGGGGACAAGGAGAGGAGAACGTGAGTGAGGCATCAGCGTGCTCAGCACGGCTGTTGGGTTGGCGTCCTCCAGTCTGACCGGCTGCGCTCGGGGAGTTCTTTCTCAGGCACTTAGGGCATGGGAGAGGGGAAGCACCCCTTTACTAAAGCGAAGAAATTACCTATTACTATAATATTCATATATACCTCCTTTTGGAGAGCTTGATTGTTTTTTTTTAAATTCCACATGAATTTTGAAGGTTCACAAATAATACACTTAGGTTCGGCTAAAGAGAATTTGTTAGTCAGAAGTTATGATTAGTCTCCTAGGTACAGAAGAAGAATGAAAATCTGAAATGATACATTAGAGCAAGATCTGGGTAGTCTCAGTGGAGAGTTGTGACTTTGTCCTCAGAGACCTGGAGAGCCAGTGGAAGTGTTTGAATGGGTAGGCTGCATGAACAGAACCCTGCTTCAGGAAGGTAGATACTCCCTATGAGGCTCCTTTCTCATAGAAAACCCATTGCAGACATAGAGGCTCAAGGTGCGTGTATAATAGCTGGCATAATCATTGGCAATAGTCAATAAAAGTCACTTTTTAAGGTTTTGGTAAAGAGGGATGAGGTCATGTTTTTTACCTTCAAGCTAAAAAGGCTGTAAAATGCCTGCCACCTGTTCTCTAAGTTCTAGTATCAAGACACAAAATCGACAGGTTTATGTAGACATTTACTTACATAGCCATTTAAAATATAATCATTAAAGAAGGTGAACCCGCTGTTTTCTATATTGTGCCTCAGGTTCACCACACGTATTTATAGAGAGAAGCTCTTCTTACACATAGTGTTTTTAATGTTTAAAAACACTGTCTATACTTGACTCGCTGTTCAGCTGGTCTGCTCAGACACTGGAGGGAAAACTGGCTGGTGTTAGATTTACCAAGAAACTGTACGTCTGCCTCTCCCATTGCATTGCTAAGGTGTGTTCAAGGATAATTTTGACCAAAGGCATATTTTACCTTTTACAGTGACTTTAGAAACTAACCTTCATAGAGTGGGGCTTCAGTATAACCTAATAAAGCTTGGGGTATGGCAGCCCTATTAGACTGTGATAAAAAAAATGCATATATATAGTAGAAAGCAAGGTAGTGTAAAAGTAAATTATAAGTAGTCTTAAATGACATGTGGAGGGATGCATTCAAGTTTAAATGAAGGCATTGAATAGTCACTAAGCTGAGGAATAACTTGGTAAGTCCTGTATTGCAGAGTAATAATTCTCAAGTAATTCTCAAACCATGTTCCTATGATTTAACAAGCTGCATTGAGGATTTTCATCACAATGATTGAAGAATTTAGTAGGTTTCTTACCCAATTTCCAGAAAAATGTTAATAATTAGAATATTCTCAAATTTACGTTTTCCTTTGAGGTGAAGAAATAATAAGGAAAGCCCTGGCTGGGTACAGAAAGGTTGCGGGTTTGATCCCTGGTCAGGGTGAGGACAGGAGGCAACCCACTGAGGTTTCTCTCTCCCTCCTTCCTTCTCTCTCTATCTCCCCCACCCCCTTCCTTTCTCTCTAGAATCAGCAAGCATATCCTCTGGCGAGGATTTTTTTTTTAAAAAAACAGGTTTTAAAAAATATATATTCATAGAACAGTTCAGGCAGCTTGTGTTTTCCATCGGCACATGCTAACAGCTGCACATTGATGCTGTCTGTGTATGAAACGGTCATTTTTCTGTCAGCATTCCAAAGCGAATTCTGTGAAACCCCATTACGAATTTAGATGACCCCTCGCCTAAACAAGTGTGACAGCCCTCACTTGTATCAATCAATAATAGACTGGAGACAGGGAGATCAATTTTTTAAAATCCTTTTTTTCTTTCTTGTGCATTTGGTGGGTGTGCACAAATGCTCTGAGTAACCAACAAGCGTGTACTTGAGAATTTACTGTGCTCCCTTAAGAGGAGCTTCATAGAGGACCCAGGAAACATAATGCAGTCCATATTGTCAATAATCTTAGTTTTACTTGGTAGACAAAAACTTTTGTAGTGTTATAATTTATAACAGCACTGAATTGACATGGGTGCTCAGAAAGGAAGTAATTATCAAGGCTTCAGGGAATCAAGAAGGGCTTCGTAGAGGAGGAGGGGGAGCTTGGACTGGACCTCAGGTGCAGGAAGGCGAAAGGAGGGCCTCTCCGAAGCAGCAGCGTGTACGGTGCCCCTGGACGTGGGTTGGGCCGCAGCGGAGGGGTTTGTGGGACACTCTGGGACACGGGTTGTCCACCAGCGTGATCCAGAAGTTTCATGTCGTCTCAGTTTTAAAACTAGCTAGATTATTACTATTCTTAATACCCTTCAAACTCTTAAAAATGGAACACTTAATACTTAAATCTTTTTTATTTCTGGCTTAAATGTGTTTGTGATTCAGTTAGGGCATTTTATTATAATTTATTTAATAAAAAAAATGTACTGCTCTGACTGTTTTGTTTTGTTTTTTAACATACTATGTTGTTTTGATATTCTGAGAACAGGTGTGATAAAACCCTTTCATTCAGAAGTATTTAATGTACATTTTTAATGTGATAGGCAGTGGATGTCGGACAAAGTCCCAGCCCTCATTCCGGTTGTCCAGGGGAATGGCTGGGCGTAGAGGATGGACAGAAAGATGGTCATTTAGGGACAGGGATAGGTATGTAGTAATTTTCAGTAAGGTGGTCAGAGAAGGGTAACATAAGGAGATGATACGTCATGAGAACCAGTGACTAAAGTTAATAATGAATTATCCTTGGCATTTTTCAAAAAGCTTTGATTATTTCTTTTTCTCATTTGAATTTATTTACTTGAGTATAAAAGAAAACAAAAACAGACGCTCAATCTCATGTGCCCACCCCATGATTTTTCAGATGAACGCACTGGACACTCTCGGTCAGACTGCTTTGCACAGAGCTGCCCTCGCCGGCCACCTGCAGACCTGCCGCCTCCTGCTGAGCTACGGCTCTGACCCGTCCATCATCTCCCTGCAAGGCTTCACAGCGGCGCAGATGGGGAATGAAGCGGTGCAGCAGATTCTGAGTGGTGAGTCGGAGCAGCGGACGTCCACCTCTCCCTCTCCCTCTTCCACGTCCGCTGCTAAACACGGGCAGACTGTGTGCCCCCTGTTTTACCAGTGCCTCTTTGGAATGTTTGTTTGTTTAAATATTTTTTCCTGCCTTTCCTTGAGTAAAGTTTAGCCTGGAGCCCTGTCAGCCTTTTTTTGCTGAGGTGAGATAGGCATCAGAGGAAGGAAGCAAATACTCTTTAATCTCTTTAATTTTTTTAGTTTTAATTTAAAAACCTGACTTGGGTGTTATGGTCAAAAGTTAGTTAAAGCTCATATAAACAGTGTGGAATTGTGGTAGTTCTATCAATAGAGAAAATTAAAGGTCGTTTATATGGTAATGATCTTTAATTAATTGTTCTTACATGTGTCATATTCTGACCTTGTGTTTTGTGATTCTTAACTTTGTTGCACTTTTATGAAATTATCTTTTCCTGGTTTAAGTATAATTATAAAATCTGGATGAGTGTGAACAGTGCCTACCTAGTACAGTATTGATACTTTAAGTACTTAGTTTATTGAGGAAGATTATAAAACTGATACAAAAATAGATACCAGTTTCCAAAGCACCAGAATTAGACAAAACAACGTAATCTATCTACTGAAAAATGATGGACTTGATACAGAAGACATTTCATACAATTGGCTTCTCATTTCTTTAATTTTGTCTGTGGGGTGTATCTGCTGCAGGGCGACGTAACAACCAGAAGAGTAAAATGAGGAAGCAACAGACGAGGAATCCGAAGTCCTGGTTCTTGTTCCTCCCTATAGGCCGAGGCCCCCTTTTTATCATGAATATTTTCTAACGTGCCCTTTACTATCCAGAAGTGAATTCATAAATAATACGGTCATGGTCTGAGTACACAGACACCTTTCAAAAAGCTGTATTAAATGCCATAACTGTAATATAAAGAGAAGGGGATGGTAAGCTATAATAAAATAACATAATTATAATATTATAATAGTAATGGCTTAGGCAAGACTACACTAGAAGACAAAAAGTAACCCCACAGACTTGCGAAGGGCCCCTGCAAAGTGCAGCCCAGTTGAGACTCGCTGCTGTGCGCGGAGACGGGGCCCTTCCCGGGCTTGCGGAGACCAGGCTGTGTGTTCCTGGGACGGAGGGGGGGCTCGCCAGTGCACAAGAGTGACTGGGCCACGTTGGGGAAGCTATCGATAAGGAGTTATCTTCCTCATTCCGGTTCATTCTTAGACAGTGAGCATTCTCCTTCAGTCTTGACGGTGATTTTTAGACACCTGATGTAAGACCTGTCTAGGTCATCGTTACTATCAAGACAAACAAGATCTGTCTAAAGGAATAAAATTTCCTGTTACAGAATTTCAAGATCGAACTGTGAAAAGGAGAGCTTCAATTACCTTGTTTCTGCTTAGCATTAAAACATTCACTTAATCCTTCTTTGACTAGAAAATATTTCTGCCTTCTCAGTAAATTCTGATTTCTAAAAGGTGTGATTTTTGTTAAAACATTCTAGATTTTTCTTAAACTTTTTACTAAGAACCATGTGGTACTGATTTTAAGTATCTTTAGGTTGTAACCATAAATCAGGCAAATATAACTATCATATCAAAATTTCTAACAATACGTAACTTTTAAAGATAACTTCCAAAATGAGGAGGAAAGAGTTGAATAAATTAAGCAGGTTAGATCTAGCAGTGCATTTATTTATTTATGATCCTTCCTCAAGGATACGCTCATTGATTTGAGAGAGAAGGAGAAATTGTGAGAGGGAAACATCCATGTGAGAGAGAAATATTGATTGGTTGCCTCTCACACTCACCCCAACCAGGGATTGAACCCACAACCTAGATGTGTGCCCCAATGGGAATCAAATTCTCACCCCTTCGGTTTACGGAACAACGCTCCAGCCAGCTGAGCCACAGCAGCCAGGGCAGATCCATGTACAAATGCTTTTAAAGTGTCTTCTGAGTGAATGCTGTCAGGATATATGACTCCGGGTAAAAGATTAAATACTGGATCACAAGTGAAATATGTTTGATAATTCTTCTTTTAAAAATTGATTTGTGAGATAAATCATTATTCAAGATAGGTTATTAAGTGCTTAATTTAGTACGTGCTGGAACTATTTAGTTTAATTCTTCGTTTTCTTTATTGATCTGGAAAATAATACAATTATGTTGTGAAGTCTTGTCCTTAGAAAGGTTTTTAAAAGTGGGAATTGTTTCTTGTTTGGAAGAGACAATATATAATTTTTGGACTAATATTGTACAAGAAACATGTATGTCTAGTCTGTGGACCATGAACTAGGTAAACTTCCCAAGTATACCTACATTAACTAATCAAATCTCAGGTTATATCTATAATGACTCCCTAAAGTTTGCACCAAGCATCAGTCATATAGAATGCATAGTAAGTTGTGACATTTTAAAGATTTGTTTAAATCCACCTGGTAATACCACGTGTAATATCTACTTTTAGAAACCTTCACTTTCAGTTCCCAATCTGTAGTTTTCAAAATTAATAAAGTTTTAATTATAAACTATAGGCAATATTTATGTTAAAATCAATGTTGCATGAACGAAGATAAGCAGTTTTTTAAATAAATGAGCATTTTAAAATTGTTTTACAAGATTTGACTTTTTTCTCTAGACCTGCTCTGTCCAGTGGGTAGCCACTAGCTAGCTGCATGTGGCCGAATTACATAAAATGTTAAACTCTGTTTATCAGTTGTATCAGCCCCATTTAGGGACTCAGTAGCCACACGTGGCAGGTGGCTGCTGCATGAGCACAGCTAAAGAACAGTTCTCGCATCACAGACAGTTCCTGAGCAGATCTTGACCCAAATTCTGGTTGTATATTCCAGTATGGTTATTGCATTGCTGTTGCCTAATCCTTTATGAAGATAAGGATTTGGGGACTTAGGATAGCTGAGTTAAAATCGAAATCCCAGTTTACATTTGCACCTTCAAGTAAGCCACTGAGACCTTTTGCCAGTCCTGTGGTCTCAACACTAACTAAACAGGTCTGCAGGAGATATTTTTAAAAATAGCCAACTGCCTTTTAAACTTTGAAACTCTCAGGGTTTTTGTTTATTTGATTTTTAATTCTGGTGAGACAGAGTAGAATTGGAGAAAAAATTAGAAATCCATCCCCACCCTTTGACGCTAGGTGAAGTATTTGTTTTCATACCATGCAAAAGCCAGTATGCTGATAAAGGATTATACTGATACAGAATTTTGCATATCAGCTAATCTTCTTTTGCCTGTATTTCCTTTTTAACTTTATTTTTATATCCTTTTTTAAAAACTGTGCATCTCTGTATACAAAGTTCCTGGGCTGTGTGTGTGTGTGTGGTGTATCTGTGGTTTCTAAAAATGAATCTGTTCCAACCCTGTTAGGATTTATAATGGATGCAAAGCTCTGTAACTTGTGTGGTAATTAATCAATAGCTTTAAATAACTTATTTACTCTACTCTTTCTTATATTTGCATAACAATTTTTGTTTGTGAAATTACACCCTTTGCAAATTAGTCTGTATCAAGACAGGTGTGCAAATTTCAAATAGTTTTAAGAATTAAAAAAAATTCAGCTGTATTAATTGTGTCCTTAAAATGCTAGAATCTAAAAATATCCGAAGTTCTGACTCTGTATGCAAACAGTTGTCATATTATTCTGTTGAAATGATAAACTAAAAATATTACTTATAGATTTCCTAAGGCGGTTTCAGTGAGTTTTACCAACTGTCAGATCGCTGTCATAGGGACATAACATACACACCTAAAGTGCAGTAATGTCAGGCAGCGTTAGACTGGAGGCAAATGAGACATGAAAGAACAGGATGAGGGAAGCCAGAGAGCGAGCTAAGATTTGACGTATACATCGGCCCCAATACAGAGTAGCATGGAAGTGAACCCAGCAAATGCTTTCTGAGTGTTCTCCATGTGAAAAGGAATGTAAAGATGTCTAACTCAACATTTCCACAAACTAACAAATACACGACACTCCCTTTTAAAGGAACGTAATTGTTATTTCAAAAACGTACTTTATTGTATGAAATACTCTCTTCTTCCCTCCCTTTAATCTTAACATTTTATCTGCTATTATTATGACTAAAGAAACAGTTTTTCTTCCATTGAAGAGTTCTCATAACTTACTCTGTAAAAGCCTTTCTCCTGAATGAAGCACTTCAGACTAGAGAGAGGTGCAGTATTTCTTCTGAAATCTAAAACCTCTTTTTAGCAACAGTTGCTCTTCCCATTTGTACGGTGGGTTCAAGAAAGATGTCTCCATTCATAAAATAACACAATCTGAAATCTGAAAGAGAATTTAAGTCAGACTAACAACCCCATAAGTCACTGAGCAATAACTAAGCTATCGAGTGGTCTGTCCCCTGTCACGGTTAGGAGAGCCAGTCTAATTCCAGTCTCCTGGACCCTGTCCCTTTTTTGTGCTGAGTGTGTGTTCACATTATAAAAGCCTCACTTAATGCTCATGAAATATTTTGAGTGATGTAGTACAGATGGTTTTTCAAAAAAACCTTTTCACTTGAGCCAATCTGTAATGAATTTTTGGTGTATTTATATTGGATTAATCAAAAAATTTCATTTGTTAACCTCATACTTGTAGATTGAACAGCCTGATTTAATTATATTCCACTTAGCATTGGTATCACACCTCCCAATTTACAGGCAGTTTACATTGTAATTCCCTGAAGCCATTCGATAAATGTGAATTAAATTTCTGTATTTAGTAGGCCGTTTCTGTACACTGATTTTATTTTCCGGGATCGGTGATTTCAGGAGTAGTACTTCTGTTTCATTTTAAGGAAACTGAGGCCCAAAAGAAAGACTAAAGGGCCCTGACTAGTGTAGCTCAGTGGATTGAGTGTGGGCTGCAAACTAAAGGGTTGCCAATTCGATTCACATTCAGGGGACATGCCTGGGTTGCGGTCCAAGTCCCCAGTAGGGGGCACTCAAGAGGCAACCACACATAGATGTTTCTCTCCCTCTCTTTCTCCTTCTCTTCCCCTCTTTCTAAAAGTGAATAAATAAAATCTTTAAAAAAAAGAAAATAAGAAAGGCTGAACGTTAAGTAATGACAGTTGAGTGGCTTCCCCAGGTCTGCATAACAAAGACAGCACAGCTTCAATACAACACTTCTAAGACCAGCGTATCATGAAGGGGATCATGAGTACACTGTCCTGTTTCTCCATTCCCCTTTGCCAGGTTTGACCAGAAAATTTGAAAGGTAGAGTAGTAGGGATGGAGGAAGACTTGTGTCTTAGAATTTATTTAAATTTGCTTTAGGAAGAGATGGATATAGATTGAAGTAAGCAACCACATTTCTTTCCTAGTAAAGATTGAGGGGGGAAACCCTATATTATTAGGTCTTAGAATCTGACCTCTTGATCTCTCTCTTTTCATTTAGCAAATAATTTTCCCTTCTTTACTATTCTCTGAATACATGAAAACCAGCCATCATCTTTCCTTCCTTTTATGCAGAAAGTACACCTATACGTACTTCTGATGTTGACTATCGACTTCTAGAGGCATCTAAAGCTGGAGACTTGGAAACTGTGAAGGTAAGTCAGTGCCTTTGATGTCTGGAGTGGCACCACTGACCCCTTGCTAACCAGTTCATTTTAAACTTGTAAGTGAGGCTGCTCAAATCCAAACAGTGACAGGGTTGAGCAAAGTGAACACGTAAACGAGAGAGCTCTAACCACAAAAAATTTCCTAGTATGTGCCTTATTATCCATTCACTTCAACTACTTTTTAGTCACTTTTCTTCTGGTTATGTGATAGCTTTTTTATTTTCACTTATCATTAATTAAAGTGTTACTTTTGGCTGCCTTCAGAAAATTTCTAAGCTAGGTCAAAACCATGTAATAGTTTTTGGCTTTACTTCCATCTCCTTCAGCGATGCCCTCCCAATTTCTCCTCTGTCTCCTCTTTTCCTTTTGAAAGTTACCATTTCAGCACAAGCTCCGATCTCTTTGATCACAAGCAGTAGGAAGCAAAGTAAGGACTGACAAGAAACATCATCAGTGGTAGCAGGTGAATTACAAAAAGATTGGAACAATAATTTACTATCTATAAAAATTTCACATGCTTCAGTGAATTACTATCTACCAAAGAAGTTGCATTCAGCAAAGTAAGGTTTGAAACAATGTTCCTTGAAGTTTTCCAAGAGTCTCACATTTGCTCTGGGAAGATACTATGATCCTGCAACCATTTGGAATTATTTATATGCAGAAGATGGATTTTCTTTCCTATGGAACTCTGTTTGCCAAGAAAATTTTATCAACCCTTTATTTGTGGCATAGAAACAATGGTTATAGATTCAGTGTTTTTCAAGTAAAAATTATTTTCTAAAATCGAATATGTTTTTTAAAAACATACTTCCCATCTACAGTCATTCACATATGGATAAAAATAGCAGAAAGCGATATGGTTTTTGGTTTTGTTTATATTTCTTTTTATTTTTCATTTTTTTTTTAAAAGAAAGGCCAATCACAGTATCTGTATTGGAAGTCATACCAGATTATTTTTTACAGACTAAACTTTGTCACTTACTAAGCAAAACTTACTTTTGTAATTTTTAGGAAACTAATTTTAGCATTCTTGATGATGTATATTATTTGAAATGACAGTAAACACTTTCTAAGCTCTGTGTTATTTTATTTTTATTTTAATATGTGGTCACTACCAACCTCTCTTTCTTATATAATAACATCAAAGTTACTTAAAGAAAAATAATAATATCAGTTGTAATAGCCACTGGGGAGAAATGTTCAAGTTCTCTTAGATCTGAAATTATGTATTTTTTTTCTTAAAAATACTTCTGTCATTGTAAGTGTATCCTAACAGAAGAAAATCTTTAAATGTAAAAATGATTAGGACTCCTTTTCCGTGTCACAGCATGGCAGTCTCAGCACTCAAATTGCTACATGTGCCCATTATCATAAAATCAATAGTTTATTCTTAATGTAATAAAGTAGATTAATTCCATGGCTTTTGTATGTAGCAGGCAATGGACTGCACGTCTCAGGTTTCCGAAACAGTCTCTTCACAATAAAGGCCAACTTTTTATTTAAATGGAATCACAGTGGCAGGAAAACACATAGCACAAATTAAATGAGGATTAAGCCTGAAAATATTCTTTTCCTAGAGGCTTTAGGAATTACTAGAAATATGATATGAGAAGAAAAGGCTGTTTGCTAAGTAACGTATTTGAAATTATATAAAGCAGGCAGAAACGATGTGCAGTTGCTTTGCTGTTCAAAAAGAAAATGAAACAGAGGAAAGAATAAAGAACTTCTAAATATTAAAAAGCAAATATTTAATAAGCAGAATGGGCTTTTACTTTTGGCCTGGAAAAATGAGTTGTGTTTCTTTATTTCCTCCCTCATTCCTATTTTGCCAGTATTCTCTGGGCGGGGGGGGAGGGGGGGGAGTTAACTTAGAAAAATAAGAACTAGGCAAAAAAGCAGGAGCAGCAGGAGGCAGCTTGTTGTGTGAGACTACAGGTGTCTGCTACCAGTCTTTGTAGCCTTTCTCTCTAGTTTACGTATTATTTGTTTCTTTTTTTTTTTAATTCTCTATCTAATGTATTAACATAGCCACATACTTTTTAAATCTTATTTAAAAAGTAATGCATGTTTCCTAAAGTTTAAAGCATAAATTAAAACTTAGAAATGTAGTGAAAATTCACCTCCTAGAGCTTACAACACTAAAATTGTGTCGTGATCCTCCTGATTTTTTATGAAAAGATAAGAGATTTGACTGGGCCAGATGGTAATGGTTCTTCAGAGTTTAGAGTCTGATGCTTTTCCACAGAGTTGATGAAATTTCAGGCCCTCCCTTATATTGCCCAGACTTTTTCCTGTCGTGTAAATATTATGCCACCTGAGAAGTCCTGTTTTTCCCCTACTGAGTATATCAGTAGGAACAGGTTTCTAGTTTTAAAACCAGCCATGCAGGAAAAAGATCAAGAGATTAATAACCAGGAAAACAGGGTCCGAGTCTTTATGCTGCCCTGCATGAACTCTGTGAAAAGTGATTTCACCTAACCTTGCTGAGCCTCAATTTATTTATCTGTAAAACAGAGATACTGATCAACTTCTCCAGTAGATAGTAATTCACTGAAGAATGTGAAATTTGTATAGATAGTAAATTATCGTTCCAATCTTTTTGTAATTCACCTGCCACCATTGATGATGTGTCTTGTCAGTCCTTACTTTGCTTCCTACTGCTTGTGATCAAAGAGATCGGAGCTTTTGCTGAAATGGGTAACTTTCAAAAGGAGAAGAGGAGACAGAGGAGAAATTGGGAGGGCATCGCTGAAGGAGATGGAAGTAAAGCCAAAAACTAGGAAAGGATCACACTCAGTTTGACTAGCAGAGTTAGACAGACATCGCCCAAAGGCCCAGTAAAGCACTGTGGACGGATCAGAGGGCCAAGTGGACTGATCAGGTGGCCCAAGAAAAATCATTATGATTTTCACAGAGCCTTTTTGCTTGCACATCAGAGGAGACAGGAACTCAGGGTTATTCTGCAGTCAACCAGGGTTGCCCTTATTTGAGAAAGAATGGCCAAGGTGATGAGCAGTCTCAGAGAGGGCAAGGCAGTGGTTGCCTAGCACTGCTTGCTTTATTATGGGTTTTTCTTTGTGGCCAGGATTTTGGCCAGGAAATGATGAAAAAGGTTCAGTTGCTGTATGAACAGCAACACTTATTTCTAGACACCGTAAAACCAAGCATAATGCTGATTTTTAAACATCACTTGTATCATCTAATCTTTGGAAATAAATATTTATTAGAAAATCACAAGTTATCCAAGATACCTGCAGTACTTTGGAGCAAAATCAGTAAACAAATATTAATATTCATCTTGTGTCTGTCTGTGTGTGCCATAAAAGCAACTTTGCAGCCCTCAAAATGTGAATTGCAGAGATTTGGAAGGCCGGCATTCCACACCCTTACACTTTGCGGCAGGCTATAATCGTGTGTCTGTTGTGGAGTACCTTCTACACCACGGTGCCGATGTCCATGCCAAAGACAAAGGGTATGTGTTGAAATTCAGCTGTTTGGGATTCATTACTCTGAGACTTAAAAAAATTATTTTAATAGTTTGAAGTCTTAATGTATTTTCCTATTTAAAAAGTAATGCATGTTTCCTAAAGTTTAAAGCATAAATTAAAACTTAGAAATGTAGTGAAAATTCACCTCCTAGAGCTTACAACACTAAAATTGTGTCGTGATCCTCCTGATTTTTTAAGTGCATGTAGCAGCGTGTGCGCTGCTGGGGGTGGGAGTGGTTGTTACTGTAAAGGCTGGTGCCATTGCAGATGGCTGCTGTGCAGTTTGCTTTTTCATCCAGTAATAGATCTCGAATGTCCTTCTGTATTAGTACTTAATAGTTTATCTCATCCTTTTAATGTCTGTATACAGTATTTTATTGCATTGTATGAATGTGTTTATAGAGTTTATAATTTATTATTTCTTGTTTTGCTATTAAAAATATATAATCTCTTCCAAAAAGAAGCCTTTCATCCCAAAGTCTTCAGTATTAATAAAAACATAATTTTATTTTTTACTAGTTCACATATTCTTTATATTAGTTTACTAAATTATTTCTCTTTATCTGGACAGTTTTTAAAGCAACCATGAAAGCTATTTAGAAATGCAAGAAGGAAGTTTAATTGAAATGAGTTTCCATATTCTGAGTTAATTTCATATCAGCTCAAAGTATAAATAATTAAGCACCTTTGTGTACAACTACATACCAGAGTCCTATAGAATCAAACCATATAACTTAGCCTTCAGTTAACAGTTCTGAATTTATTTATCTTTTAAAAGGGACACATCAGACACGAGTATTCAATAATAGTATCACTCGCTCTTTTAAAGTATTATAGTTCCTTGGAGAAAAACCAACATTTTTTTCTATTGCCCATTTTAGCAGTTAGTGTTTTTATTTCGAAAGGTTTTTGTCAAAAGCACTGATCTCTGAATAAAAGGGCTCCCGTACCTGGATTTTGCTGTGTCTTAGTGCAAATTAAACTCATCTTTTGGGTGCACCTTTTTTTATGGGCACATTTTTGGTCCCTTCAGAACGTCAGCTGCCTTCCCACCAGAACCTCAGAATGGTTTGCTCACAAGGAGGCAGCTAGAGTTGCTCACGTGACTGGAGTTTATAGTCGGTGCCATTGTTTTCCTTGCTGAACACTGAAGCCGGTATCACTTGGATTTTGAGTTTTCATTGCATGGAGCCTAAATATTTAAACCTTTTCCCGGAAACCATTAAAAAAAAAGGTAGAGCTTGCCGAAATAAATAAGCTAAATTACCTTGTGTACTTTATAAGCATACAGTTTCCATTAGGAAAGCCCAAATGGAAGAAAATCTGAGAGATGATAAACCAAATTATTGTTTAATTATTCCTGAAACCGTTTTGTAGTGTTGCTTTTTATTGCCAGGATGAAACCTGAATTACAAGTATTGTGATGGAATCTTTTCATGTGTGTGTTTTAAGGATATATGTATTTTAAGGGTAAGGTATGCTCTGAAGTTTATATCTGTCAGCAAAGTCCTTCTATTGAAAGGGACATTTTTTAAATTCTTAATCCTATTTGGAAATGGATGACTATGTCTTAAAGACCAATTAATTTTTTTTTTCTTTTTAAGTGAGTCTTCAGTATAGTCAATGCCATAGAAGAATTACATTATTTTTATAAGTATCATTTTAACTCGAAGATTTGTTGTATGTCTTAAAAATAATTTTCTTCTGTTTAGTGGCTTGGTGCCCCTTCATAACGCTTGTTCGTACGGACACTACGAGGTAGCTGAGCTTCTGGTACGGCACGGGGCTTCCGTCAATGTGGCGGACTTGTGGAAGTTCACCCCTCTCCATGAAGCGGCAGCTAAAGGAAAATACGAAATCTGCAAGCTCCTCTTAAAAGTATGTGATTTAAAAAATTATAAAGTATCAAGTAATTTTATTTACTGTTGGTTAGCATGTAAAATTACGTCAAAGTAAATTATTCTATTAAGTACAGTAAGTGCTATAGAGATGCTTCCATGTTGCGTTTTGGGGGGATGTCTGAGTGTGATACCATGATATTCACACAGCTTTGAGTGGTGTCTGAAGGGCCTTTCTGAGCCATTCGATTTAAGTTCAGTTAATCACAGCTCCTCAAGGTAGGTGTGGGGAGGAGCTGGACTACCTTGCATTACTTATCTACTACTTACAGTCTTAATATCAGAAAACATTTATAGAAAGAGAAACCAGTTTTTTGAACAAGTTTTATTTTATTTTCTACTGGTTACTCTGTTATTATTAACAAACTCATTTCTCATTATTAAACATTATTTAAATATATATCTTATGAAAACTTTAATATCAGATTTTTATTAAAATATAAGATATCTCTCAGTAGTTACATATGTAAGTTTTGAGGATACAGATGAAACAGTAGAAACTCGTAGTCACATGAAACTAGCTCAGTAATTTTGTGTGTGTGTGTTTTTTAAGGATGTGAAAAATGACCAGACACGTATCTACATGTATAGATTTCTCCTTCTATTTTTTTTAACTAGAGAAAAACTTAACCTGGTTAAATACAAATAAAATTCTTATTCCATCTTGTATGGTATCAGATATGTTCTTAAGAGTCTTGAGAGTAACACTGTGTTTGATGGTCGTTTTTGTTGTCAGTGGTCAGTGAGAAATAACGTGCAGGTCCCAGTGAATGCGTTGTCTCACTGGACGCGGGACAGCTCTCTCCAGTGGGCCAGTAGGAGACCGGCCCATAAGAAAGATTCCTGACTTTTGTGTACTTAATTTCATAGTATATGAAATTTCATAGTGAACTGTTAGAATCAAATTAATTGTTAATACATTTATACCTAATTTCATGATAGGTGTTAAGTTTTAAAGTGAAAATACTTTAAAATTACCAAACTTCCATTTGCATTTAAAATCAAGTGCTTTTCCTACCTATGTGTTTTCCTCTTTTCAGTTCTTTTTCATGATATTTTCATTTTTTCATGATATTCGCTGAGTGTCTTTATATAATTGAAATCTGGTCAAAATTACCATCCATCCCATTCTTAAAGGAAAAGATGTTTTCAAAGACTGCTAAGTAGGGAATTGGCAAAATGAAACAGGATATTGCCTCTGTTGTTCAAAATGCATGTAGAATAAATACCTTGCTTAGATAAGTGAAGTTAAAAATAAACAAACGAACCTGAAAAAAGACACTACAGAAAATACAAACCCCGTTTGGTTTTTCTTTGCAGCATGGAGCAGATCCAACTAAAAAGAACAGAGACGGAAATACCCCTTTAGATCTGGTTAAAGAAGGAGACACAGACATTCAGGACCTACTGAGAGGAGACGCCGCCTTGCTGGATGCCGCCAAGAAGGGCTGCCTGGCAAGAGTGCAGAAGCTGTGCACCCCAGAGAACATCAACTGCAGGGACACCCAGGGCCGGAACTCAACGCCTCTGCACCTGGCAGGTGAGCACCGCCAGCACGGCCGAGTCTCGTCCACTCTTCCGCACCTGGTACAGATGGCCAGGAGATGGAAGGACGTCTGACCCTGGAGAGGGCTCCTTAGCAAAACGTTTTTGCTGACATAGTTTTATGTAACTTCTTATTGTAAAGGCTCTTCATATGTAATAATAGTATTAGCTTTTAAAGCAAGAGGTATTAAAACTTTAACATTTTTCCAGTCCTTAACTATTTATATACACATTTTTTTTCTTTTAAGCTGATGTGTTTGCCTTTCTTCACTCTATTAGCTGGCTACAACAACTTGGAAGTCGCTGAGTACCTTCTAGAGCATGGAGCAGATGTCAATGCACAAGACAAAGGCGGCTTAATTCCTCTTCATAACGCAGCGTCCTATGGGGTGAGCATGCTAAGGTTCAAGTCTAGAGAACTTCACTGACGTGTACTGCTTGGTTAAGAGTATACTGTGCACGAAGTGAGTAGAGAATCTAGCCAACAGCATCATTTACACAGTTATAATTCTTCTGTTCAGAGTGTTTCTAGCCTTCCCAGTTAAGCATAACTGTCTTTTTAGCCAAGGACCACGCTTTTTATAGCTTTTTAGTCTCTTAAACATTATCTAGCACAATCATAGGTATATTAATAGCTGCTCAGTTAATATTTATTGATACAGATAATATTCTACCTCAAGTAGATTTTAGAAACTATAAAAGCCAGGAGGCTCCTCTTAGGCATGAAAATTGTGGTTGCTTACATTTACCATCAACATTTTTTCAATAATCAAGTAAATGTTTGAGCTATTGGTACACAAGGATGTGGCTTCATAGCATTTGAATTGACTGGCTAAAACCCCACGGTGAAAGTCCAGTCGTCCCCTCAAAGCACTGTAGCTGGTCGTCAGTGGAGAGAGAAGGAGGAACGTATTGACTGCCTTGATGCTGTTTGCTGAGACTGACCGCACGGGTGCACTGGGGACGCCAAGGCCCACTTCAGGCCGAGGAGTCCCACGGGAGTAGTGTGAATGAATGCTCCTGTGCTTGTGTGTTCATCCACCTAGTCCCTATTTGTAAAAACCCACAGATGCCAGATTGTGCACCCCAGGGCTGCTCACGGTTGTAATCACTATTGATGGGGCAGTTTCTAGATTCCCCAAAGCCTGGCAAACTATAAATAAAAATGAGTCACTGATTTGTATATTCTCTTACCTTGATAATGAGAATATCCCCATGCTCTAATGCTCCTTGCAAAAACCAAGCATGTTTCTCTTCTCCCTGCTTCCCACCTTTCTTAAATTAAACTAGGACCCTCAAATCTTGTTACTGTATTTGTCATTCAAAGCATCTGTGCAGCTGCTGGATTCTGGCACCACCTTCTCCTGGAAACATTCCAGGAGTTCAGTTCCTTTTCTGTACCTTTCCGTCCAGTGTGTGGCCCTTATCTGTGGTGAGGAACTGAGCTGTAGCTCATTTATTGCGTGTGTCAGCCTTAAATTCAGTTTCTGTTTTTGCCCTAGTGGGGTAGACATTTAAAAGACTTAAGAATTGTGTTTTTAGTACACTTGGGTAGTAATATACTCCTTTTTGTGTATTGCTTTTTCAGATGTTTGTCGGCAGATTTTAAAAAGCATGTAACTGGTCTCTCCCAGCACGAACTGTGAAGTCAGTGTAAAGAAGGTTTACTAACATGTACCATATATGTCATTCATTTTACACACACACTCACACACAGTTTCCCTTGGACTGCCTCATTTTGGAAGCCTATGCAAATTAGGTTACTAAATTATATTATTCTGCCAATACACATGAGAGTAGAATAAAATTAATCATCAGAAGCACAATTTAAATAGCCTGTAAGTAGAAAAGCTTGAAATTATTCCATGCTTTTGGGTTTACTAAAAACAGCTATTCTTTTTCAACATATATCCTTTGAGTAAGGGAGATAAATTAGGGGCTTTGTTTTGTTTTCAGTGGTGTTGCTGTAGTACCTTAGGTGGTGCCTCTTTTTATCTTGGTGTCAAGATCAATTTTGTAATGATGACATCATTCGTGCTCCCAAAATGATCATAAAACATATCCTGTTCTCAGAAACCCTAGTCTGATTATACTTTTTTATCTTTATGTTGTCAAAGTAAATATGGAAGCTTTATTAGAAGTTGTCTGATTGTATTTTCTAGTAAGTTTCCTTTTCTTTGTTTTCTGAAATTACCTTTTTTAAAATGAATAAGTATTTGTATTATATATTTTTTAAAAAACTTCAGTGGTGCCTCAGGAAAAAAAAAAAGTGCCTTTTCTATTTGAAGCGAGTATCTTCCAGAGAGCCAAGACAGTCTTAAGGAAAATACAAAGAAACATGCCCTGAATACATCTGGGGGTATTTGTCTTTCCCTTCACCTCTTTCCCGTTCTCACGAAAGTTGGCTGCAGATAAGTCAGTGTATTTATTGCAGTTGAGCAACAGCATGAGTTAGAAATTTATTCTCAACAAATAATGTGCTTCTGAGCTATAAAAAGTAATCAAGTTATGCCAGGGAATGTATCCATAAAGAACACCAATGTGCCAATTGCACAAAAATTATAGAATATTGGAGTTGAGATGGATTTCAGAAATATTTTGGTGGTAACTAAACTAGCATCCCTAAATGGGTATGTAAGAATAAAGTTTATTTTTATTATTTTCCAAAGCCTAATCATGAATCAGTTTTACCTCTGCATAATCAGTTGTCTTAACTTATTTAGAAGAACTTTTTTGGAAAGAAGCTAAAACCTTTCACTATTATTTGAGAAAACCTACTCTCCTAGAACTTTCTTCTGCATTGGTTTTCAAAGGTCCTGACTCTTTTTAGTTCTTCTCCCATTCTTACTGCCCCGTTTGTCTTCTCCTTTCCCAAAATACTGTTTTCACAGTTTTATTCCCCTTGCGATTATCTCTCTGCATTCCTTTTCTTAATGAGCTCATTTATGGACTAGCTACTACAGCTTTCAGCTCAGTATTCCATTTTGTCATTGCCCTCGAGTTCCTGTCTCTGGTGCCAAGCACTCGGTAGGCGTCCAGTAGCTGTTTGGTTGGTGGGCGAGTGGGTAAGAGAGCACATGAGTAAGTCGCTGATGCCCTCTGGCCTGCCCTCCAGCCCTCTGTGTCAGGCACTCCCATGAGTGTCTGACAAGTTCATGACCTTGACACCGTGCCTCACCAACAACGGGCCCCAGCGAGCCTTGCCCTTCTTACGGCTTCATTCCCTCTTGCGGTTTTTCTGCAAAGGTGGTCAGTTGTCTGACTTTTCTTCTTTTTCTTCCTCCGTGGTTCATTTGTCTTTCTAAAACCAAGTATTTTTTCCTTCAAAATTTCTCATACTTTGCTCTTCTTCTTCCTTCCTCTCTGACCACCCCGTTCACAGCTGACAGAAGATCCATCATCTCATGCCCGGGTTGTTAGTGAGTGGGTCTGCGGCTGACATTCCTCCACCCTTTGGGGCATTTTGGACATGAGAGACTAGTTTTTGAAAAATGTGGTTTTATTGTGTTATGTTACTTTCCCAAAGGCTGAAACAGGAGAACATTCAGAAGCTTTGAGATGAGTATTTCAACAAATAGAGCAGATTGCAATTGGGTAGAAGAGAAATGTTTGTTTTAAGATGGGCCTGAATATGTTAGCTAAAGAAAAAATTTCAGATGGTCCCATGAAGAATTAGAATTGCGGGGTACAAGAGTAATTGTGGAACTGATAGAGGAGGAGGCAAGGAAAGATGGAGTCCAGAATACAGGGAGAGGGATTGTAAATACTCTTTCATACTAGAAAGTTCTGTTAAGGATGAAAATAGAGACATAGAGAGAATGAAATGTTAAACAGAAGCCAGTGTGTACGACAGAGCTTTACCAGATAATCTTCCTTAACTCTTCACCTCCTTTTCCTTTTCTTCAGCATGTGGACATAGCAGCATTATTGATAAAATACAATACGTGTGTAAATGCAACAGATAAGTGGGCGTTTACTCCTCTTCATGAAGCAGCCCAAAAAGGGAGGACCCAGTTGTGCGCCCTCCTCCTGGCACACGGAGCAGACCCCACCATGAAGAACCAAGAAGGTCAGACACCTTTAGATCTGGCCACAGTAAGTCCTCATTTCAAAATCCTCACACTTGCTCGTTATACTTCCAGAGACGACCTGAAATTCCAGGGCTTGGCAGGTTTACCTTTAGCCATGCATATTTCTCTTAGAATAAAAACAAACTAACTTCTTTCTGAAAATTTTTTTAATTTATTGATTTTAGAGAGAGAGAAAGGGAGAGAGAAACGTTCATTTGTCATTCCACTTATTTATACATTCATTGGGTGCTGTTTGTGTGTGCCCTGACCGGGAATGGAACCACAGCCCAGGCGTGTGCCCTGATCCAGGAACTGAACCTGCAAGGTTTTGCTTCGCAGGATGACCCCAGCCCACTGAGCCTCACCGGTCAGGGCTAGCGCAGCTCTTGCTCATCAGAATTTCCCTGAGGCTTTGAGAGAGCCAGTCAGATTAACTTCTGGGCAGTAACTGGACAAAAATGACTGTTGTTCAAGCATAAACAAAACAGTAAATAAATGTGGGAACTACTTCTTAAGGAAGAGATTGAAAGTCAACACTTTGAAATGCACTTTTTTTAATGAAAGGTGAAATCTTTTATTTCTTAACTCTTCGAATCTGTATTAACTTACATGTCCTTCAGATACGCATGTAATCTGCACAACTTCATGTATACTTGCCACTTAGTCTTAAAAACACATTTTCAGGAATTAACATAGTCCACATGGTTGGATTTTTTTTTCTCGTAGTTAATTAACTCTGTGTGTGCCTGGAGAAAACACGATCTACTCTCAGTGAGTTTCAAGCACACAGTACAGTGCTCTTAACTGGAGTCACCCAGCTGAACGCTAGCTGTTCAGAAGCCAAAATATTTTGTGATTAATAGTTTCTCCAGTTCTACATACTGAAACTACTGGACCTTTTGGATGAGAGAAGGAAAGAGACGGAACTTATAAAAACAAATAGGATATGAGGCATTTATTAAAGAAAGAAGCCACAAGGTACTTGGTCTTTAGTGAAAAACTTACAACTTTAAAATGCAGCATTTCCGTGCTGTTTGTGTCCTTTGCAGGCCGATGACATCAGAGCCCTGCTGATAGACGCCATGCCCCCCGAGGCCTTACCCACCTGCTTTAAACCTCAGGCCACGGTAGTGAGCGCCTCTCTCATCTCACCAGCGTCCACCCCCTCCTGCCTGTCGGCCGCCAGCAGCATAGATAACCTCACCGTCCCGTTGGCGGAGCTGGCCGTCGGGGGGGCGTCCAACACGGGGGACGGCGCCGCAGGCACAGAGAGGAAGGAAGGAGAGGGTGAGTGCACCCTGTGAATGCTTATTTGGTTCCTGTCTTTTTAATTCACAGATTCATTTTTTTATTGGTAATCATTGAACACCTCACTGACAGATATCTTAACTATAAGTTGTCATTTATAAAGTGTGTCTTTATAGAATAAATGTCTTGGTATCTGCATTGTTCTTACTTATGTTTATCTCAGTACATCCATTCCAAATCAAAATATCTTACTGAGTTGCGGACTGAGTCTTATTACTGAAATGTATCAGGAAAAAGCAGAGATTATTTAAGGAGTGAAAACTAAAATGATAGCTAGTAAATTTGGAATTTTATATCTACTAAATATTTCACTTATTAAAAGTATTACATTATGCTCTGTAATATTAAAATTAGTACAAATACTACTGATTTGCTAAACTGCTTTTACTTCTCAACCAAATTCAGAGATAACTCAGAGTGTCTGAATGAAATTTAGAGTTATTTTATGCGTGTAAAATCATCTGCATAGCCAGGGGTGTCAGAGAGCCGTGGCTTTAAAAAAAAATACTGGGACTTCCTTTAGATTGATAAACTCTGCTGAGAAACTTTATGTCTGTTTCAGTTGCGGGTCTTGACATGAATATCAGTCAATTTCTAAAAAGCCTTGGCCTTGAACATCTTCGAGACATCTTTGAAACAGAACAGGTAAGCTCTCTTTTTAATTAACTATTAAGTTCTATTTTTTTTTCTTTTCTTTCTTTTGTTTTTTTGGGGTGGCGGAGCTTAACTGCTTTTTTAAAACCACAAAAAATTTCTAAAGAAGCCACGGGAATCATACCTCTCCCCCAAATTGTGTAACGCAGCGATTTTCAGCCAGTGTGCTGTAAGAGGCACACACCTGTGTGCTGTGAGAGTTTTTAAAACATGCACTAACTGCCCTGGTTGGTGTGGCTCAGTGGTTGAGCACCACCCTGCAAGTCAAGGGGTCAGCAGTTCGATTCCCAGTCACAGCACATGCCTAGGCTGTGTAACCTACCTCAGAGTTCCTGTAGAGGGTCTTCCAAAAATTCAGCAACTTTTACCATGTGTTTGTGTATGCCATGGAAGACAAGTGGCTTTTTTATCTCCTTGGTGGAAGAAGTGGCAGGAACGTGGCGGAAGGACTCTGTCCTGGCTCTGCTCTGCTCTGTCATTTTGGACCAGTCATTGAACCTCCTGAGCTATAGCGGGTTGCTTTAGAACGAAATGAAATGTTTAATTAGCTACTTTGGGAGGAAATAGCATATAGAAGGTACTCGTTAAACATGAATAGACACATAAACATGAATCTGAATTCCTTAGCTTGTCATTGAATGTTTTCCAGTGGCTACTGCTTGATAAATGTGGGACCAGTGTGGTACCACGTAAGTCAAAGAAATTAAATTCAGCATTTAGTTATGTTAGCTTTCTAGGCATCCCATGTAAGAAATACAAGCAAGTGAAAGACAGAAATGGCAGTACATCTCAGTTCTGAGTGTGATTTTTATGACTCCTCTGAGCCTAGATTCCCTCCTAAGGGATAGTACTCCACGGGTTGTTGTGAGGAGTAAATGCGGTGCTAATCTCATATATTGAAGCTGTATAATTGGCAAATACTGGGTTTTGCAGACCTGGGTTTTGCTTCTTCCAGATATGCACTGTATGGAAGAAATATGGTACCAATTCAGAAAAGCTTAAGGATTGTTTGAATTAAAGCCACCGCATAAATATTAAATCCTGTTCTTTTGCCAACCCTTACTTGAACTGAAGTTTAGAATATTTATACAGAAAAAAAATAGGATGTCAATAATAGAAGCCCTGTGCCTGTTTCCAAACTACATTAAAATTCCATCTAGCTGAAAGTGGAAAGGCGCTTACTCTATTGTACTGTGAACTATTCTTTCTCAAAGATGTACACTTCAGAACCTTTTAAAAGCTCTGCTGAAAACTTCCTTTGGGCAATTGGAAGTGAATTGCCAATTTTGTGCAATGGAGTGATTATTTTTAAATGGCCATTTAGGAGCAATATAGTAAATTATTTCCAAAGACTGAGTAATGAATGCTTGTTGTGCTGAGAAAATCAGATTCATTATATAATATTTCATTCTGATGATACAACTCAGAGGAGCTCCAGGCCTCATTTGCCTTTTTAAAATGTCATGTACAAGTGAAGCTGCGGAGAGATTAAAACAGCTCATTCGAGTTGGAAAAGGGGTGTCTTCAAAAAGATTTCTCAGTTCTCCAGGGGAAGAGAAACACAAAGGCTAATCTTGTGAGGTAGTATTTGGATTGTCATGGAACCACATTTTCTGAGCTGGAAAATAGCATGTTTAGCCCTTAAGACATGTGGTCGCCCAAGATTCCACCCTGTACATTCAGAACGCTACCACTTGGCGGCGGTAGAGTCACAGTTACTTTTAGTCAACGAAGACTTAGGTAATTCTGAATCATCTCCTTTTACAAGGGTGAATAACCAAAAATTAAAAACCAGTACTTTGTACCACAAAAAAAGAATGTTAAATTCTTTTGTTAAATCTGGGGAATTTTTAAATCTGAAAATTTATAAGAGAACTTAAAGTCCGTCTTCTCCAGATTGGAATTCTTTACATGGCTTCTGTATAAAATAGTCTGTAATGTAACTAAATACTTGGCGATATAAATTTCACTCCTTTCTAAGGCAGCTTCTTTCATGCTTGAATATTTCTAGGCCCCGGGAAGTTCCTCTGTGTTTTTGCATAAACCCTCATTACTAAGTGTGCTTGTTCCTTCGGCCGCGCCCCCATGTGCTGCCTGCCGGGTGCTGGGCTGGCACTTGCCCACTTTCCAGCCTGCTGGCCGGTCCCTCTCGTATTCTGAGGCAAGCAAAAGGTGGTAGAACTAAATAATCAGAAGGAATTGTGGTCATTTTATATTTCTATAGCATTATTTCTCCCATTGTAATTCTCCACTGATTAAAAGCAAATTAAGGAGTATTTAAAGTTAGCAAAAAGCTGATAAAATTATCAAGGCAACTATAAGAAGATTTTAAATTCATGCTCATAATGGAAACAAAATCTTAATTTGAATGGATACATGTGTGCTATGGAAGACAAGTGGAAGACTTTTCATTATTTTCATCACACGAGGAACTGTTGAAGATTCAGTGATTGATTTTGTTTCACTCTCAGATTACGCTAGATGTGCTGGCTGATATGGGCCATGAGGAGCTGAAGGAAATAGGCATCAATGCGTACGGACACCGCCATAAACTCATCAAAGGAGTGGAGAGACTCTTAGGTGGACAACAAGGTAAGCTCTGGAGCAGAAATAAACTTTACATGGTAGTGGTACGAGATCCGCATCAGGGCTGGCTGCGGGCCTCGGGCGGTCTGACCCCAGAGCGCAGGTCCTCGGCCGGTGCAGCCCCTCCCGCCTCCCCCACCCCACCACATTGCCATCCCTCTGCCTCTGGTTGCTGTAGCTGGAACTGATTCATTTTCCCTCGCTCCCCACACTTTGTATCTAAATATCTCTGGGTTCTGTACTTCTGTCCTTTTCTACTGCTCTCACCAATTCCAGGTAACCGTCATCTTGCTCCAGAAATGTCACAACCGCGTTTCAGCTTATCTTTGACCTTCACCTTTGCCTCTCTTCCAGTGCCTTCCCTACACTGTAACCAGAGACTCCTTTCAACACGACTGCGGGATCATATCATTTCACTGCTCAAAACCCTTCAATAGGACCCTGTTGCTTTTAAGATAAAATCAAACATTCACAACTTGATTTTTCATAATCTGACCTTTTTCTCTTACTTACCTTGAACTTTTCTCCCTCCCTTACACCTGTCAGCTTAGTCTTTTCCCATTATGCTTTGCTGTCATAAGCCTCCTATCTCTCTCCTTTGTATGCGGTCTGTCCAGAAGGTATCCAGCCATGTAATATGAGAAATAGAGACACTTATTGAAGAAGATAGAAAATATAAAAGACATTGCACATAGGACAATGACACCTTAGTCCCCTTCAAAGTAGGCCCCTTGGAACCTCACACAGTTCTCCCAGTCACTGTCAGTTGCCCTGTCCTATTTTCCTGAATCTCATTGACAGTCTGAAATCTCTTTCCTTTCAAGGGTGATTTTAGTTTTGGGAAAAGCCAGAAGTCACAGGGCGCCAAATCTGGACTGTAGGGGAGCTGAGTCACCTGAGTGATTTGATGTTTCACAAAAAAAACTCTGCATGAGACATGATGTGTGAGTGGGCATGTTGTTGTGATGAAACTGCCAGTCACCAGTTCTGTGTAGCTGTGGCCTTCTGACTCATCCGAATAGTTTCTGCAGGGGAATGTTCAACTCCACTTGCTCAGTCATTTTTGATGCAATGGCTGCACAGTACACATGCTCACTCAACGGCATCTACCACCCCCACTGACTAGGACAGTGAAGTCGTCATTGTTCACACATGCACATTCTAGTCCACTCTCTTTGGCTGCCAGGTTACATTGATGTCGTGTAAATGGGTCTCATTACATTAACAATGGCTGGAATTTTTCCGGACAGACCTCATACGCCTCTGTGTTTATCATTTCTCTATTTGCTTTTCTCTTTTAATTTATATTTTATCATATTTTTTCCATTGCCATTTAGTCCCCTTATGTCCCTCCAACCCTGCAATCACCACACTGTTGTCCGTGTCCATGAGTCCTTTTTCCTCAATCCCTCCACCCCCTAACCCCCTGCCATAGCTGTCATCCTGCTCTCTAAGTCTGTCTCTGTTTTGCTTGTTAATTCAGTTTATTCATTAGATTCCACATGTGAGTGAAATCATGTGGTATTTGTCTTTCTCTGACTGGCTTATTTCACTTAGCACAGTGTTCTCCAGGTCCATCCATAGAAGTCCTTTTACTGTAGAAAAGCCAGAGGAGGGAAGAGAAACAACTTGAATTAGTCATTTAGTCTGCAGAGCTAATAAATTGCAAGAATGACATGAAACTAAACATTAGCAGGTTTTGAGCTTCAGTCTCGCGTATTTATTTGTATTAAATGTAGAAGGATAATGAAATTAATAAGAGTAATATATTTTAAACATATTATGTGACTATTTCAAGCCATCTCACAGAGATTTTAGACCAGACTACAGAGTAATTACAGTGTGTTTCTCTGTTGTATTAAACATTGCTTTAAGACTATTCATGATTAAATTTAATTTGTGAAATAATTGTTGAGCCCTGCTGTACATACAAGGAACTCTTTAAGAACCAATAAAATTGCCCTAGCTGGTATGGCTCAGTGGATTGAGCATCGGCCTGCCAACCAAAGGGTCACTGGTTCAATTCCTACTCAGAGCACATGCCTGGGTTGCAGGCCAGATCCCCAGTGGGGGGTGTGCAGGAGGCAACCACACATTGATGTTTCTCTCCCTCCCTTTCTCCTTCCCTTCCCCACTGTCTAAAAACAAAATAAGTTAAAAATCTTTAACACTCCTCCATTACTTCACATGTCTTTGGATGTACTTGTTTATATAATTTTATGTATTAGGTTCAAATTGCAAAATAGTTTAGACTTATTCTAATATATCAATTATTTGTGACAAGTTTTCCCTAAAATAAAGCCTGAATAGTGTGAACTTCTGTTAACTTTGCTCATTTTTCTTTTCTCCAGGAACCAACCCTTATTTGACTTTTCACTGTGTTAACCAGGGAACTATTTTGCTGGATCTTGCTCCAGAGGATAAGGAATATCAGTCAGTAGAAGAAGAGGTAATGTACATCAAAGTTTTTAGTTATCTTTTCCTGAAATCTGTGGTTAAACTTATTTTTCTAGGGAGTTAAGCTTGTCTTACTTCATCTTACAGTCACTTGCCTCTGTACTATTCTGTCTCCCGTAGCCATTGTGGTAGAATATTGCCACAATTAAAATAGGACCATGGATTAGAGCTATGCCATGTGGTTTTCACACTGTAAGTCTAAGTTTCCAGTGGATAGTTCAGACCTGTCTTTTTATTCTGGAGACATTCTTGAAACTCATGCAAGTAATGACCCTGTTAGAATTATCTTTTTATATTGCCAAAATGCTACCTAGGAATGGCATGGAGTGAGACTCTTGCCTCACAGATAGCAAACAGAGTCTCCTCTTGGTTTCTGTGCCACACTGTAAAACATGGCTGGAAAGCGACATGCCCAGCGTTTACATATGCATAGCAAGCACGCCTCATGGCTGGAGTCTCCTTCCGTCTCTCCGAGCACAGCGACCCAAAAAGCACCACAGTCAGGCGAGTGGGGTGCACCTCAGGGAGACGGGCACCCCAGAGACACCCTCTCTGCCCCAGGCCTCCGCCTCACTTCCGACGCGCGATAAATGAACACAGCGCCAAATGGCATCATTCTGTGCAGAAAAGCGTGCCTGCGTCTTCGTTTGTCTTTGATTAATGCTCTTGTTACTCCCATTGTGGAAACTCAGGAGAGTTACCTTCGGGGGGTGGTATTTTAGCTCGTAGTCAGTTTTTCAGGAAAGCATGTTTTCCAGAGCCTTACTGCCTCAGCTCCTAGCAGTTGGTAAATTCTGATAATAATGCCAAAATGCAGTGAGTAACTGCATAATGGAGTGGTAGAGGATTAACTCTTTGAGTCAGTTCTATGAGAACTTAGGTTTTTAAAACATTTTACTTTTCTGTAATAACTCTTTTTAATTTGGAAAGTGGAAGAAGAAAGTTATTCCTGGTCTGTGCAGATATACTTGGAGTTTCTAAATTAAAGAAATAATATAGAAAATATAGAATATTTCACTTCAGGAACAAAAATTTATTGATTATAAAAATCTTTGTTTTTCGCATTTGCCCAGTGGCATCTCCATTGAACAAGAGGAGTTTCCGTTCGACTTAGTCCCAGCGTTGCTCCCGCTCCCAGTGGCATCAGACAGCGATGGGGACCACGCCACAGGCTACTTTATGTGTCCCCGCTGTGCTTAACAGTCTTCCCAGGCTTTTATTAGAAAATCAAAAGAAAATGCAGATGATTAACATTTACATTTAGTGGACTTGTATTTATTTAGAAATGCTACATCTTAGACTCATCAGTAAAACAATGTAATAGAATCGAAATGTTGAAAACAACGGAAGGAGCATCTTTAGAATTATACACTTGCATATTTTCAGAAAGTTAATTATTTTTTCATTTTATTCTGTAGATGCAAAGCACAATTCGAGAACACAGAGATGGTGGCAATGCTGGCGGCATCTTCAACAGATACAATGTCATCCGAGTAAGTTTTTAGGGCGAAATTAGATTGCAAGCCTTCCTGAAAATCAAATGTGAACAGTGAAAATCATGTGTTGAAGTACTGTTTTCAAACTCAAGGGTGGCCGTTCACCTGGCCCTGTGGTCTGGTGTCACCCTGTTCACCCCACGCAGTCTTTGATCCCTCGAGACCGTACTTCACTGGAAGTAGAGACACCCAGGAAACGCCAGAGCTGCCTATGGGAGGCCAGATCAGCAGGTGTTGGTGAGGCAGTACAGTGATAAGACTGCCAACTCATCCGTAAATCCAGACAGTAGCTGATCGTAATGTGTATTATCGCCATTTCAAAGCAGCATTAGAGGCCTGGAGTTTTCCATCTCAGTGAGTCAGCGGTTATGTCAGAACGCAGATGGCTCCTCAGCTCATGTCTTCATTGATAGTACAGGAGAGATGGCTGCTCTCTGCCTTCTTCCAAAGGGACATCGTGAGGACGAGTAAGGCCTGTTGGGAACTGACCGACTCCTTTGGGTTCACGGACCGGTGCAGGTGGCACTAGTGCACAGGAGCATCACCCAGGGAGGCGTTTGCAAGCTAGGGGCTTATAGGCCCCCAGATTCTAAAACTCAGCACGTCCGGGGAGGCGTCTAGGAGCAGCCGTCTTCCTCTCCTTTTCTCCGTTCTAAGTCCTCAGGGATCTCGGAGGCACACACAGTGCCAGGCCTAGGGCGGAGTAACAGGCAAAACCCGCACCTGAACATCAGGTCACTAACAGCCAGGGTTTAACTGGACTACACTGACCTGGCAACTTTATCATTTTAAATCATGTTTTAAGCAGACAAGACAAAAATTGGATCTTCCTCAAGGAAAACATACTTTCCATTTTAAATCATACCTACCAGTTAACATACATTACACTCAGTTGCTTTTTTCTTCCTCGTTCTTAAAGATTCAAAAAGTTGTCAACAAGAAGTTGAGGGAGCGGTTCTGTCACAGACAGAAGGAAGTGTCCGAAGAGAACCACAACCATCACAACGAGCGCATGTTGTTCCACGGTGAGTGTCCCGGCGGCGGTCCCGGCGGCGCCGGGCTTGCGCACACCCCGGCCGGAGGGAAGGCCGTGTCGTTGATCGTGGTGGTGTTGCATTAAACAGGGTTCGTTTGGGGTTTTTCCCCAAGAAATGACGTGCCGGTACCAGCGTTCTCGTGCCTTATACAGGCTTTTCAAGGCATATTCAATGAAAACAAATTATCTGAAATTTTTTCAGAACTTAAATTGTCAGTTGAGCTATCTGGAGAATGAAATATTTTTCATTGTTCTTTAGCATAATTGTTTTAGTTTATTGGGTTATCTGTACTTGCTCAGAGTAAGATTGGGTATAAAATAATCTGCGTTTTCAAAGCCACACTGTACTTTGCCGTCTAAAGTCTCATGCCATCTGCGAGATAACATCTTTGCTTGGTGAGCACAGTAGGTCCTTGATGAGATTCTAGCACGTGATAATTTATGTATAATAGACATCTTGCAAAATAAACGTTTTAATTACGTATTATTGAGTACTTAATATCAGTCTGCCAAGTGCAAACAGTACGTAGCTAATTGATATTCTGGAAAAGTGTTCAAAAACTAATTTTTCTATCATTATATTTTTAGGTTCTCCTTTCATTAACGCTATTATTCATAAAGGGTTTGATGAACGACATGCATACATAGGAGGAATGTTTGGTGCTGGGATTTATTTTGCAGAAAACTCCTCTAAAAGCAACCAGTACGTTTATGGGATCGGAGGAGGAACAGGCTGCCCCACACACAAAGATCGGTCGTGTTATATATGTCACAGGTGAGCACTGGGTTTGTTTCTCGGGCTCTGCAGCAGTCCCAGCTGACCCTCAGTCCCCACCCTAACGAGTCAGGCGTGGTGGGGACCGGTGGGAGCAGTCAGTTTCTCAGCCTCCACCCTGCCAGTGGCAGGGGCGGCAGGGCTGCTGGCATTATGGCGATGAAAACTAGGTGTAGTCAGCCAGTCACAGGTCACAGTGAAACTCCCCCCATTTTGGCATTTTCCCCGGGCTTCATGTTTCTTGCTTCTGAATCGGTACAAGAAAGGGGTGGGAATTGTTCTTTAGAACAGAGAACCTCTGTCTGTCTAGAGAGTCGCAGTGGAACTAAGACACATATCTTCTATAATGTTGCTGTCCCATTCCCAGTCAGGGCACACACCTGTGTTGTGGGCCAGGCTCCCAGTTGTGGGCGTGCGAGAGGCAGCCAGTCGATGTCTCTCTCTCACACTGACGTTTCTCTTGCTCTCTTTCTCCCTCCCTCCCCCTCTCTAAAATTAAAGTAGAATCTTTCATGTGCTTCCGATATTGCTTGTGATATTTTAAGACAGGATATATAATTGGCCTTAAAAATCCAACTTTGGAATATTAACTTTGGAATTATTAAACAAATGAATATTAGCTTTTTAAATAGGATTTTTAAATTCAAAAGTTGAAGAGAATCATAGTATATTCTCTGAAGTCAGTGAAAAAAATAATCCCTTTCCCTATTCCATTTCCTGTCAACAGAAAAAAGTACAAGGAACTGTATTTTACAGAGATTGCCGTTTATTACATTTCTCTTTGAATTAACCAGATACATTACTTTTGCAAAGTTGGTTTAATAACAAACTTTATAATTCAGTTAAAATCTCAAAAAGACCTATATAACCTTAAAACTTATTATAATTGTTGACCTTGAGACTTACCGCTCTCAGTTACATGGAAACAAATTGTAGCCATCAGCAGTTCCGATATGGATGCCATAAGTCTAGAAGGAAATTTATTTTCTTTAAGTCTGATGTGGTTAGTAACACACAAAAATTCCCAAGAATATGTAAATGCAAAAGTTTCTCTTTGTTGCTTCAAACCTAACACTTCTGGAAACAAAATGAATTGGAAAAAGCAATAAAAGTGAACCTAAATGAAGGTGAAGAGTTGCCCGTTAAAATTAGAAACACAGGTCAGGATTCCCAAAAACAGAGCCTGAAGCAAAAGCTCAGGTACCGGCACCTTGGCAAGTGCAGCCCCGGGGCAGCAGGAGGGAGGGCACAGAAGGAAGTGAGGTCAGGAGGCGGCAGGACAGGCTGAGGTTCACCAGGAACTGGCCGGTTTCAGGACAGGCGCGACTGGTCACTCAGTCCCTGTGACGTCTTCAGAGAAGCTGCATGAAGTAATCCATCACCCAGCAGTACATGGTGGGAGAGGAGAGATGACCTTCTCTGCCGGCTCCTGTCTTGCACCAGTCAGCGTTGGCACCTCCCCCTCCCCCACCCCCCCACTTTGGGGCGCTGCCTCCGAGGTGTATGTGGCAGTGCACAAGGCACATCGCTGAGCAGGCAGGGCCAGCACTCTCTACCTGAGCACTAGAACCTGTGGCCTCGTGGGCTGGTGGGCTGGGGAACGGCTCCTACTGCTTCTCCTGCCTCCTGCAAAGCCCTGGGGCAGGAAGCCGAGGCAGGAGGCAAGGCCTGTCTAGTCAGGCTTTGTGTGACATACGGCCTGGGGGAGGCCGTGGCACTGGGCCAGCCAGCCGAGCAAGCAGAGCCCCGTGATGCCTTAGTGCTGCCCGCAGTGTGGGCATGGAGCTCAGAAAGACTCCTCCTGGTTTCCATCAAAACCCTTTCCTCTGGATGCAAGAAGGAAATGCAGCCAGGCCCGCCTCCCAGAGGGTCAGGAGCGTCCCCCCGAGACAGCCAGCTCGGGCAGGACCCCATTCTCCTGGGTGTGGCATGATTTTCATTTCACTGAAAGGACTATCTCTGATCAGTCACATTGCCAAGGTTGCACTCCATTACTAGAAACAAACTGTTTGTATAAAAACTATCCCCTTTAACAGTGTGACCGTCTTACTGTTTAGTTTAAATGTGGGTTGTTTCTATTGTGTCGGTGAACTTTGAAGGCCCACAATGATTGCAGGCTTTGCAGGCCCCAGGACCCCGTCCCAGTGACCCCGCTCCGCCCTGTAGTGCAGAAACAGCCATAGACAGTGTGTAAACGTGTGTGTGGCCAGTTTCAGTGCCTGCTTGCTAACGGAAGCAGGCGGCAGACCAGACCCAGCCCCTGTGTGACCACCTCCAGCCTATTCAGCACGCTTTCCTCCCCGCAGCCTGCCTTCTCCTCCTCCGTCGTGTTTAATTCCACCCCTCCCCGTTCGCACTTCACCCAGGCAGTGTCGTTTCCAGCCTTGTGTTGAAGCAAGTGTTTGTTGTATATGGTCCACTCTTACTCTTACTTTTCTCATCCGGTTTATTACCTCTTTATGAGTAAAACCAAATCCTAATTTCAGATGCTGCTGCCATTTGCTTATTTTCTCCAATTTATTCCTATCCTTCCATATAAGAACTCGGTTTTCACTAGTATTTTTCTTCTTGCACTAGTCAAAACATACCAGGTGTTTTTCGTGATTGGTTCCCAGACCACACCAAAACTACTTTCAACTTCAGGGGTCACTGTCGAGCCTGCTATTTGTGCTAAGTCAGTACATCAGATCTCGTCCCATCCTGCTCGTGAATATGAAAGGGACATTTAAATTAACCTGCCTTGTGTTAAGGTTTACTTAAATCAGTAAACCTAACAATTACATCATTTCGAGATTTAAAGCTTCCTTCAAAATACTGCTTTCCTCTTTTCTTTAGACAAATGCTTTTCTGTAGAGTGACCCTCGGAAAATCCTTTCTGCAATTCAGCACCATGAAAATGGCTCATGCCCCTCCGGGACACCACTCAGTTATTGGGAGACCGAGTGTGAATGGGCTGGCGTACGCCGAGTACGTCATCTACAGAGGAGAACAGGTATGGTACTCACCAGATGAGCGCAGAGTTACTAAACATGACCGTGCAGAATGTGGAGACCATGTACGAGTTACAGAAAACCATTTAACAACATACCTACTGCAGCCCTGGCTGGTGTAGCTCAGTGGATTGAGTGCCAGCCTGTAAACTAAAGGGTCCCCTGGTTCAATTCCCAGTCAGGGCACACGCCTGGGTTGCAGGCCAGGTCCCCAGTAGGGGGCGCATGAGAGGCAACCACACATTGATGTTTCTCTCCTTCTCTCCTTCTCTTTCTCCTTCCCTTCCTCTTTCTCTAAAGATTAAAAAATAAAAAGTATGTATCTACTGCATATTCTAATAGTATTAGTTGTTTCAGGTCAAAATGAAGATATCTAAATTCTTTGACATCAGCTTTACACAAACAACCCATCAGTCAGTCACCTGTCAGCCAGGTAACACAGTATAAACAAGAGGGCGTCTAAGAAATAAGGTGTGGGACCTCATGCTGCTCTTGAGGCATGCTATTCTGAATTAATGCTCAGCATTCTCCAACCCCAACACAGCAGTAGAGAGCTAGGAGCAGCTGCCTTTGAGTGGACCTTCTTCGTGGACACAATTGCCATAAGCTGGTCAGACGAGTGAATCTTTGTACAGATACACCTCGCCTTACAATGGGGTTATATCCCAATAAACCCATCGTAAGTTGAAAATACTGTAAGTCAGAAAAACATTTAGTACAGTACACCTAACCTATCGAATGCTGTAGCTTAACCTAACCTTTTTTTTTTTTCTTAGATCTTATTTGTTTATTTTTAGAGAGAAGGGAAGGGAGGGATAAAGAGAGGGAGAAAACATTGATCAACTGCACAGCCCCACTGGGGACCTGGCCCGCAACCCAGGCATGTGCCCTGACCAAGAATCAATTTGGCAACCTTTTACTTTGCAGGCCTGTGCTTAGTCCACCTAGCCACACCAGCCAGGGCAGCCTGGCCTATCCTAAATATGCAGACTTACATTAGCCCACAGTTGGGCAAAAGAATCTAACACAAATCCTGTTGTATAGCATGGTATTGACCAGCTCATGTAATTTGTTGAACACTGCACTGTAAGTGGAAACAGGGCGGTTAAACTCACCACTGTGTGCACCACCGTCATGGGCGGGTGTCCTGTGGGTGCGGTGAGTGCGCAGACAGTAGCCAGAATACCCGGGCAGCACGGTGCCCCGGAGGGCGTGGGTTGTTTCCCCTCGGGATCGCGTGGGGACCGGGAGCTCTGGCTGCCTCTGCCGAGCATCACACGAGAGCGTTGTACCACACGGCACCAGCCAGGTGAGGTCAAACCTGAAAGTACAGTTTCTGCGGGTGTGCATCACTTCTGCACCATCGCACAGCAAAACCCTGAGTCTAACCATCGTAAGTCAGGGGCCTTATATACATCTAATCATGGAACTCACGTAAAACGACAGCCTTCAGAGTCGGACAGCTACAGCCCATTGAATTCTGCCAGCAGCTTGAGGCTCCAAAATAAAATTGGCAAAAAGCAGGAAAACTTCCCATCAGTTTCAGCCTGGTACTTAATTTTCACAATACTGCTAAATACCTACCAGTTTTTCTAAAAACAAAACTCAGTTTGTCTGTACTTAACTGAATTTCAAATGGTTACTTAAACTTTACTAATGGTAAAGAGATAAAAAGGAGAAATAAGAAATTAACTGAATACAACTAATCTATGAAAACAGTGTTTTATTATGTGCCTTCAGTCTGTGCCAGCTGAGGTGTACTGTTAGGGAGAAGAACTGGAAACAAGTCCTGAACTTCGGGGTGTCCCATCTGTTGGCATCTCTGGGCCACACTGGAAGAAGAAGGGCTGTCTTGGGCCACATGTTAAATACGTTGCAACACGCAATCACAAAAAAATCTCACAATGTTTTAAGTTAATTTACGATTTTCTATTGGGCCGCATTCACAGCCATCCTGGGCAGCACGAGGGCCACAGGTTGGACACCCCAGTAGTAGAAGTGTGGCCTGTGGCTGTGTGGGCAAAGCGGTGACCCCTGTTAGGTGTATCATAGGGGTGAGCAAGTGAGGAGCTGGCGGTCACTGTTGAGGAAGGGACAAGCGTGTGGAATGGGGGAGGGTAAGGGGTGGACTGAAATTGGAGGTGTTGATGTGAACTCATGGTGTCTAGTATGTATTATGTATGCACACACGTGCATATGTGTATGCATGGGTTTACGTGTAAGAGTGATGTAAGCTTGTGTATGCATTTGAGCATATATGCATGTGTTTGTCTGCTGAGAGCAAAGAATAGCCCATAGCAGTGAGTACACCTAGAGCTGAGATCTTGGTCTCTAATACCATTCCCCGTGGTAAGGATCCAGGCTCTTTGGGAAAACAGCTAATTCCAGGGACGGAGCACAATAGGAACACGTAGACCTGGAACATCTAGCATGTGAAAAAGTAACAAAGTAATGAAATACTCAAAAAAAAAAAAAAAAGATGGGGCATGTTACAAGGACCCTGAGCCAGCTTGAAGGGGCTCCACTGGCCAAATCTGGGACAAGCTGAACACCAGATAAGCATAGTAATAAATCTCAAACCATTGGGAAAAAATAGGAGTTCGTGATCCTGATAATAACTAGATAGACAAGTGAAGGGAAAGGGAGGCTTTCGCCTGCAGTAGGGAGTGGAGAGCAGGTAGGTGGGTGTGCAAGGAGATCGTCTTGGCACTGCTGTGGTCAAAATTACACCAGGCAGGAGTCATCAGTGGATGCCAAATGGAGGGGATCCTTTTGACAAGGAAAAAGATATTTTCATGGTGGTCTTACGAGTTAGAGAGGAGGAAGAAATCACAGCAGTTACACATTGGAGAAGGGGGAGCAATACCCGATCCGATGGTCAGAGGTCACGTCACCGTGAGGGGCACGCAGACCCCGAGTGCGCCCCCGGCGTGGTGCTCGGACACAGGTGCGGCATCCGTGCAGCGCTCCAGCCGAGAAATGCGTAGCCTCAGCCTGATCAGAGTGAGGAGCGTTCTGTTTATAAAAAATGTCGGAGGGCTAGAGTCTTTGAAAATGTCACTGTTATAAAAGACAAAGAAAGGCTTTGAAAACCTCCAGATTAAATGAAACCCAAGAGACAGGACAGCATTGTGTTGGTACCGTTTTCATTTCTGCAATTTAATGTGTAAGTTTCCATTTGTTTTAAAAAATAAGTGGAAATAAATGTGTCAGATTTTTAAGTTAGAAACTCCAGACTTCTAAGGAAAATGCTTTTCCTTTGACTTAGTAATTCTACTTCTAGAAATTTGTATTAGTGTAATCAACAACAAGGAGTGATTTGATCAACGTTAGTATATTTATATGCCTGAGTATATGTAGTAGAACACCGGTCAGAACCAGCAGCCTCTGAGGCACGGGAGGCTTTGCTGCTGTGGCTGCCGCAGGGTCACCGGCTCTCTCCCTGTCCCCCTGCAGGCCTACCCGGAGTATCTCATCACCTACCAGATCATGAAGCCCGAGGCTCCTTCGCAGACGGCCACAGCAGCCGAGCAGAAGACCTAGTGAATGCCCCCTGGTGCGGGCCGGATGGGATTCCAACCGGGACTGGATTGTAGTGGATCGTTCCCAACAAAGTCAATGTTCTCTAAATCCCCGACAGCCTAGAATAAGCTGTTCGTCTTATGAAGCGTTGCTATAGTGATGAATATAGTGTGAGTAACTGATGCGTACTCCACTGCTGCTGTGCCCGTTGAGGAAATGTTTACAGGGGCGGCCTTTCAATGTATCTCAGGCTCACTTTCATTGCAATTATCCATTTCTAAAGTAAGACTGCTTTGATCTAAACTTGGAAATGGAGAGAAAGAAAACATAACCAGTACTCCCCCAAATGTTCACCATTCACACACTACATTTGCTTTGCTTTGTTATATATGGCACATGTATATAACAAGTACGCACACCCAGGGCCATTTCAGTTTTTCCTAAACATGCATCATTGGCTGTTTTGTTGTTCTTCGATAATGAGCCAGAGAGCCTTCTCGAGGATACTTTGCACAAAGCCACACTGACTAAAATCAGTAGCAATGCAGCCCAAGCTTCTGGCTGAGCAAGACTAGTTTCCACCTTTTTTCCACTTTGATTTATTTTATATCTGTACTTCTTATAAACATAAATTGAGATGGAAAGAAAAAACATCAAGTTTCCGTCCTTTTATTAATTGGCCAGTCTTACAAGGAAAAGGCACAAACATCAACCTGACTTAGGAGCTCCCAAGTTCAGAGAAGGCAGAGCCCCTGAGGGCTCTTGCTCTCTCACAGGAGAGGTGGCCAGGAACGCGGGAGCCCCGAGGAGCGTAGCCAGGGGGAGGTTCGGGTGATGCCGTCCTCAGGCCCAGAAGCGAGACCACGAGGGGGGCCGGGAAGGAGAAGCCGCAGAGCGCATGCGCGGAGCAGGCAGGTCTGGGTGTTGCAGCAGGAGGGCCTACGGGACTCCTCAAAGAGCACCTTCTCACGCACTCTGCCCCACCAGAGTGTCGCCCCCCAAATTAGCTGCCTTATTTCCAAATTCAGTCGAACTGTTGTACTTCACTGGAGTCACACAAAGTTTTACCTTACTGTTTCTCTAGGTTAGAAAGCTAGGGTTTGCATCCTGTTCAGTAGCTGGACGGGCACAAATGCAAGGACTTTTTTGTTTACTCCAGACTTGGGGTTGGTTTTGAGCGAGGTGCTTCAAATAGTCTGTGTAGGTCCCTGCACGGAAGTTTTGATCCATTTCTTCAAACAGCTTAACAGACAAGGAGAACAAAAACTTGAAACCAAAGCTCTTTCAGTCACTTTTTTAAATGAAAGTGGAAAAATAACCTTACTGTTAGTTCATGAAATCACTACTTTGTTTTGCTTGTTTTAATCACCACTGCCAAGTGCACATCGACACTTGTAACACGTTGTCCGTTGCAGCCCTTACACTCGCCCTCTTCCCCTCACCCGAGTGTCACGTCAGGCGCGTCCGTCCACGCTGGCGCGCCACACACCTGCTCGGCCTTGAGGCAGAAGTAACGTGCGGTGCGAAGAAAGGAAAGCAGGGTGGCGCGAACTTGGCGCTTCCCCTTAAAGTCCTGACAGCAATTTGTTTTTTAATGCAGGCTGGTTAAGCTGTGACCTCATTTAATCGCCTAAATAAAAATAAAGTAGTTACATGCAAAAATTCTATAATAGGCTCTTAAAATAATACATTTTGCTTTCTTTCTGGCTCGAGTCCATTGCTAGAACTAGGCATTGGGAACTAGATTGAGTTTCATAGCTGAATCCTGCATGGGTCCTCAGAATTCAGTCGAGAATTAGCTTCCGCGTTTGCTTCTGTCGAAGTGTTTGTGGCCCATGCTGGGTGTGTGTGTCTCGGCTGTGTGTTCACGAGCACTAGGATTCCATGTGAAGAAGCTTCGAAGTCGGATGTTCATTGCGAGGGCTCTCCCCGCCTCTCCTCCTTTTCTGCCGTGTTGTGTAACACTGGGTGGAAGGTGCTGGCACTCGGTGTAGTTTTCAGTTGCTGTGAAAGTGTGTATTACGTGCCTCCTCACTTAGATATAGTTTAAAATGGTGAACACGGCTGTGATTTTTAGTTAAGAAAGAGTTAATGTGGTGTAGATACCAAAAGCCACTCCCCACCTGTGGTGTGTGTCATTGCCGTCACACTGACTAGAGTCATGGCTGTGCCAGTTTTAAACTTCAACCTCACACTTGAGAAGTGAAACCGTGCTTCAGTGTTTAAACTGCCAGCGTCGTGTGCCGTGCGTTCTGCGTGCCGAGTCAAGGTCCTGTGTGAGGAAGACACTGCAGTGCTGCCTGTCCTGTAGTAGTTCCAAGTGTATAGCAGTCCTGGGGGAACCTGTACATGTTACTCATCTGCTAGAGACAGTGGGTTCATTGATACCTCACAGGAGCCAAATACATTTTTTCACTCCAAACTTGAAAACCAGAGGTCATCCTGAGTGCACTCAAATGGGCAAAAGTTAACTATGTTTGGAATTTGCATCTATAGCAATTCGAAAAACCCTCTGGCATGTAAAAGCATGGCATTGAATTGGGCTGAAATCCATGTAAGTTCTCGCATTTGCACTACACAGAAACAGGAGCAAGCTGAGGATTTCCAGTGTGGCCTGCCGGGGCTGGCCCCTCCACTCCCCACACCGAATGGGAGAGAGCTGGCCACAGCCGCCCGCCGCCCGCAGTCCTGAGACCACAGGGCCCTGGGTGGGGGGGCCCGGTTCGCTGGGTACTGGCCGACCTGCATGGTAGAGTCAGGAGTAAGCGAAGTGCTCCAGACTGGACACCTCCTCCTGCTTGGCCGCCTTCCCCTTTCCCCAGGTTGCTAGTCTGGGACTATAAGTAGCTCTGACACTTACCTTCAGCCCCACTCACTTTCCTCCTTTCTTCATTTTGAGTCTTGCAAAAGGAGGCCGTCCCTCGATTCCATATCACGACCAGAACCAGGTGTTAGGCTCCCGGTGCTCTGCTCAGAAGATTCTGCCACGCCGTTAAACAATGACAGCGTGGGACCCAGAGTTTTAACTCTGAGAAAAATAACAGCTGCACAACCAGGTTTTTTATTTACCTTTTTCTTCGTGGAATTTGGGATTTCCAGCTTTTCAATGAAATAAGTAAAATAAACTATTAGAATGTTTCCACGAAATAGCACCCTTGTGCTCATCTGAGTGGTTAGAGTAATTTCCTTCTGCTCTAAAATAGCAAAGTGCATTGATTTCCATACAGAAATGCCTGAACATGGCAAATAAAGTCATATGGACTAATGTTCCATTACCACAACCTTTATACAAACAGTGGGCGTGCTCCGGAAGAAGAGCTTTAGAACGCACTTAGCGGCCCCGGTTCTTCTCTCCCAGTACATCTCCCAGTTGTGCGGTGGCTGTCGGATGCCGCTCACCGTCCTTTCAAGTAGCTGTGCTCTCTGGCCTGCCGCACACTGTCTCTGAAACAGCAACACGCGTGTTTGCAGCGCCTTCCCCCGGTGCGCCCTGCCCCCATGTGTATGATAATCAGCGATAAATGGCCTTCTCACCGAAAGTGCTCGCGCTGTGACAGGTGTCTTTGGGGCTGTTATCTTGCAGAGTGAAAAAGGTTTTAGTCATTCAGGGAACACTAAAAACTGACATTAATACGGAGTTTCGCGTGTCAGATTCATTTCAAGACTAAAACTAAACTTGTTTGATGTCAAATCAGCCACAGGAATGAAAAGAAAGTAATTGCGAAGATAATGTTTCAGCTTCACTTGGACACATGTAGCGTATGACGAGAAATGCATTTTTTAAAATTACTCTTAAAGATGAGGCTTCTTCAGACACTTTGTGGATTCTGAAATTAATAGAAAATTAAATATTAAGAAAGCCTTAACTACGGCAGAAACTTCTTAACCTTTTATATCCTAGTAAGTTGTAATTCCATTTCTTAGTGTTTGACAGGTGTCAGTGAGCCAGGCATAGCTGCGTGTACGTCGCACCTGGCGTGCTTTTTTGATGAGGGCGCACTTCACAAGTCACGCGCTCTCCCACGCAGAGGAGCAGAGGAGTCAGCCCATGCCGTTTCTGTCTGTCTCAGGCTCCCCAGCTGCCAGATCATCTGGTTTGGAGGAGAAATGCTAGACAAAATTGTAAAACCCGTTAAGTTTTGTGTATGTGGGAAAGCAGCAACAATTCACAAAGTGATACCCTGTATCATTTGAGTGTTGCACAAGCTGTTTTTTAAATCATTTTAAACATAGACCATGGTGATGTGGGAGAAACCGCAGGAAGCGCGCTCCAGGAGGCGCGAAGGTTCCCGACGTCTGCCCGAGGGCCCTGCCTCCCCTGAAATGACATTCACGCTGTCGGGATGCTTACATTTGGCTCTCCGTTCCTCCACGTTTCCTTTTCTGTTTTACACTTTCCCATCTCCACACCCACCCTGCCACCCATCTTTTCCAACAGATTTCTCATTCTCCAGAATTCAGATTGTTTTGTCAGTTTTCATCTGTCTTCCCATTTCTGCAGACTCCCCTGAAAGCGTTTGCAGAGAAATGCAGTTAAACTCTGGCGGTGGGGGTGTCCCGTACTCTCTCCTGTGGCCCTCCCACGGTTCAGGATTAAAAGCTAGAAAACGTGACAGTAAAAATCAGAAAGCAACCAAAATCTTTGAGGCCGATAGCCTAGACCTGGAAGATGAAGACCCTGACTATAGAACCCTTGTATTCACGACACAAAATGCTTCGACTCTTCACGTGCATATATAATGCCTGCTACTGCTTCCATTGTCCCAAGTTCATCCTGTCTTTGTGATGGTAGTGTTTGTCTTTGATACCTACACACTAAAAAGGTACTTTCATCAACAAGGTTTCTCAAAAACATTTACAGAACCAGCGTGGAGGAAATCTCAGTGGTTTCCTGGCCACGGCGTTTGGCGTAGTCTGTGCTTTCTCATTGTGTTGTCAGTCTGTGTAGTAACCAGTGTGGTGGCTCTGGTTCATGATCGGTGGTGGTTTGTTTTTATTTTTAGTCTCTGTGACCCACCAGTGGCAGGGGGTTTCAGTCCCCTCCTTTTTCTTTTCTGCATTTGTCCACTTGTAGGATTGCCAGATAGAACACACAACACCCAGTTAAATTTGAATGCGAGGTAACTAATTTTTTAGCTTAACCGTGTTTCATGCATTACCTGACACATATTTACAATAAAAAATTTTCTTATTTATTTGAACTTCAAATTTGACTGAGCAACCTGGGTTTTTGTTGGTTTTTTTGTTTGTTTGTTTTGCTTCATTTTATTTTATTAAGTCTGGCAACCCTATGAATTTGGTCATGGGAAATTGCTGACAGCATGTAAATCCTTCGCGTCTTCACGGTCTTCCGTGTGGAGCGGAAGACCTGTCCTCCGCCACCCTCTGTGTTCGAAAGAGGGCACCGAGGAACTTAACCTGCCTGCGCGGCGGGCTCCTATTTAAGGCATCTTTACGATTATATTTAACCTGTAATTGTGCTTTGGCTAAATGTCTAACTACAGTACTTGTAATTGTTTAATATCCAATAAAAAACATTTTTAAAGTATGCTGTATGTGGACAGCATTCGGCTCGGAAGTGTTTTCATTTCCCTGTTTGTTCGTTTCAACCTGACCAACCTTGACACAGCTGACCCGAAACTGTCAGAACGTGAGCAGCAATGGTCCCGCGTGTCTGTCCGGCACAATCTGCGTCACAACTGCCTCATCCTCTCCTCGAAGCCCATGTGGGGGTCACTGAAGGTCGGCAGTCGCAGAACCGCGATTCCTTTTAGGAAAATCTCTGAAACGAAGGGGCTCGGGCCCTGGAGGCCGACCCCACACCAGTGACTGGGACAGCTCAGAGGCCCTGCCCGGCCTCGGCTGCTCAGAGACTGCCCCCCCGACCCCGACCCCGACTCATCACGCTGGAGAGTGAGGGAACACCTGCCTCACACGATGGTGACCATTCTGTGCCTGGCACGTGGCACTGAGAAAATTGTTTCTCTCTCTCCCTCTCCTTTCTCCATGCCTAGTGATTCATTAGATAGCAAGTTAGGAGCTAGGGTTTTATCTAATTTCTTTGCCAGCGGGATTGCTGGAGTTGCAAGGATATATCAGTTAAGTACTTGGAAGCACTCTCAACCCGCACAGATCAGCAGCTATCACTGAGCCGGTGAGATGAACCAAGTGCTTTGTATACCTTTCCCAACAACCCTGCAAAATAGGTATTTTAACCCTCATTTTACAGATGAGGAAACTGGCACTCAAGAGTGGTGAAAACATTTGTTCCATATCCCAGAATTTTTTGCACTGTAGACTAAGGTACCAACTGATCGGCCCCACCAACCCCGACCGTGGGTGGAGTGTGGGTGTGTGAGTGGGAGTAAGAACAGCCAGGTGACCCGATTGCGTGACTCTCTGTCATAGCTGTCCCTGAGATCAGGTTCTAAATGCCTTTAGACTCGGGGGCTCCCCTTTGGTTATTGCTGAGTTAGAAAACAAATCTAAACTGTGCATAAAAAGCAAGTGGCATATAAAATAAACAATGTGGAATTTCCACAGCTTGGTTTGGTTACTGGTGCAGAATTATTCCAAGGGCCTACTTTTATGGCTTGGAACTACTACAGGTTGAAAGAACCAGGGGAAATGTGTGTGTGTGTGTGTGTGTGTGTGTGTGTGTGTGTGTCGCAGGGAGGGGTACTTATAAATCACTCATGGGATTGGATTTCTTTTCTGCAGAAAACTACTTCCTAGAAAACTGAGTTCCTATGACTACAAAGGGGTAGTATTTCCCAGGCAGCAAATTTCAAAGGTCTGTTTTTCAGTGGCATTGTCTACACTCGTCCATGGTGGTTGTGACCCAGGGTCTCAGGTTCGGGGCAGCCCACCGGGCTGTGTAGCACTTGTAAACCTTTATTGTTCGGTATGGTTCACTTTTCCTTGAGGTTTTGTAGTCATAAGGCAGGACAGTAGGCTTCCCGGCTTAAGGGGCACATGGCCCTACGTGAGAAATAGTGAAAAGCCATCTGGTCTTGCTGAGGTGGGACCTAGCTGCCAGGCTGTCTGCGTAGGCATCTACCCTGAAGACCTGGACCGAGAAGCAAGTGGAAGGAGGTGCGTACGTCTTTATTTTCACTAATTCCCGCCTGTCACCGTGCTAATCCAACACCTCTGCTTAAGTACGACGTGCATATGCAGATAAGTGTGTAGGTAGCATTTTTATTTTTTTAATAGGATTCTTGGCATACTTTTTTCCTGGCCAAAAACTGATGTGCAGTGTCTATTCATCTTCACTTCCGTAGTCGCTCTTACAAATCCGGAGTGGGGGTGGGGGGGTGGGGGGACACAGCCCGGCGGGCGGGCGTCGCTGCAGGTGCGCAGGCGTGGGAGCGGCCGGGAAACCACGGCGCTGCAGCCCCGAAACTGCTTCACGGCAGCTAGGAAACGAGAGGAAGGCCCGCGCCCCGCCTTTCACACCTGCCAAGGAGGAGCGCTGCCCGCCAAATACTTCATAGGGACGTGTGGAGGACGCTGAAGGTGTTACAAATCAAATGCTGGTGGGGTCCTAGCAGGGCGGTCAAATAAAGAAATGACAACAGCCAACACAATAATAGCTATCCGGTGTGAATGAATCAAAATCACACCTAATTTTTCAGTCGAATCGGCAAAAATACATATTTTGTGGTGTGCCACAGAATTTTAGTCATTAGTCTATGTGTGCCGTGGGATGAAAATCATTGTCCTACAGCGTTCCTAAGCTGAAGAAATAAAAAATGAAATTCAATGCAATTTACGAAGAATTGATCTGTATTATGAAATAGTATGCAGCCACTACGAAGGGTGAAGCAGAACCGTGTGGGGATTCGGGCCAGTGTTGGGTGAAATGAGACTACCCGGCCGAGGATTCACCTGGGTGCACCCCCATCGCCTGGGCCCGGAGGCCTGACTGAGCAAACCCGGTCCCAACTCAGGAGACGAGGACCAGGCGCCCCAGCACCACCCCTGCCGCGGGGCAGGGAGAGGAAGCGGAGGAGCAAATTGACAGCAGGGCGGGAGGGGCAGGGAACACCCAGGGAGAAGATCCTGTCAACCGCCTCACTGTATAAAAGAATTACTCTGAAGGTTCCTTTTGGTTACTAAAAACAAAAGACGTGGGCTGTAAGGTGGGGATATGGAGGAGGAACTTTTGCTTTTTACTCATATATGTGCGTTATTTGACTATTTGGGCAGTGAGCATGTTTTCGTGTTAAACACGGAACAGCTTCATTGGTGTATAATCGACATACTGCAAAATGTACCCCCTTGAAGCATACAATTCAGTGATTTTTAGTAAATTTACTATAAAGTACTGATGTCAAGTCAGCTGGGGAAGTCAGGTCAGCTGGGGAGGTCAAGTCAGCTGGGGAACATTCCCTGCCAGGAGGGCGCCCAGGAGGGCGGTAATCCCCAAACAGCCTCCTCCCAGCCGGATCCCCTGTGCTGGGGCTGTCGGACGTCTCCCAGGGAGGAGCCACGCTTGTGGCTCCCCACTGCTGTGGGCACCTGGCAGGTTCTCAGAGGAAGGACACCCCCTGCCTCCTACCAGGCAGTTCGTCTGGCCGGCCTCTCTGCCTGGAGAAATCAGGTTCTCGGAGACTCCTGTTGGCCTCCTCCAGTCGCCATCCTTGAGTGGTGTTCTAAGTGCAAACGTGGGCTCACCGAGCTTACCAGCCAGCCCCCACTGTGGATACCGCTGAGTGCACGGGGTTATTAAACAACCCCCACCGCTCCCACCTTCCCGAGTCCACCCCGCAGCACCGTTCCCAGGGACGGGACAAGTACACCGAGCCGGAGGTGGTTGAAAATGTGTTTATTTTCCGTCAAATGATTTCTTCAAGCAATAAATAAAAACAGACATGTTTGCTTTTCTAAAATACAAAACCAAACAAAAAAAATCCCCTACACTATATACATCCTACAGAAATACAAGCATATCAAATGTAGAAATGACATCACTCTGGAAGATGGGGCTATTTACATACAGAAGTTACCAGGATTGCGCTGCTCAGCCCTGGAGCAGCCTCCTCCTGCTGCGCCTCAAGAACTCTAAGGACGGACAGGTTGCTCCTGTGGTCCTGGGGCAGGAGGGGCGCCTTCGAGGTGAAGCTGTCCATTCTTCCTGCTAGACAAGACTCCCAGCGAACACATCAACATGCATGCACTGTCCTCAGTCCCCTAACACTGCTCCCCGGGTCAGCTTTCAAGGAGCAGGAAACGGTGCCCATTCAGGTCAAGGAGCTCCTTGAGCTCCTGAGGAAAACCATCTCAACCGCTTGGCTGGGACTGAAAGTGAGACCAGGCTGAGCCAGTGGCAAGCCCCTGGCGGCAGTTTCTGTGCAAGAAGTCACCCTCTGAGAGCAAGGCCCAGCCCTCCCGCTGCACCTTGCCAACCAGACAGCAGCTTCCCGAATGCAGGCTATTACACAGGAGAGCACTTAGAGGGCTTTGAAACAGGCTGACACCTGCGTCCCTCTGCAGGAATCCTGGTTTCGTTGGTCTGGGATGGCTTGGCAGCAGGGTTTTCTCAGCTCCCTGATGGACGCAAGTGGGCGGTCAAGGTGAACCATTTTAAGTTAAATGGGCATGGTGGCCAACAGCCCTGTGTCACGCTTGAATCGACCATCCCATCTCCCTCTGTCCACCTTCCCAAAGCCTTAAATCTTTTCCCCTGGGTTCCCCACTCGTTGAAAACTGGCTGGGATCCACCTGGAATGAGCACCTGAGGACAACGGCCTCAGGAGGGGAGGGCTACTGCTGGGAGCTCCTGGCCACCTGCTCGTGGTGACTTCGGCCTAACACAGCTGTGGGAAGGTCAAGTCCATTTCCCTCAGTGCTCCACAGACGCCCTTGGGTCGCGCAGAGACTGCAAGGGAACTGGAAGCATTCCCTGTTCTCTACAGATGGCACAGTTCACGGACTTTTCTCACCAACAGCACAGTCGTTGACAATCAGTGAAAGTGGTGATGTTTTCAGTCCTTTACAGAAATTTCACAAAAGAAATCACTTCCTGGGAGGGATGTAGACAGAAACCCACCGGCCCCGGGGACTGGCCCTGCGGCTGCATCTTCCTCAGAGCTGCCCCAAGCCATCCGAGTGGCTTCTCGCGGGAGAAGAGCCACCCAGAACCCCCTCTGCCAATCAAGCCAATTTCCTGTTTCATTCCTAAGAGCGTTGAGACTCAGGCCCTTATCAAGCCCACCGAAAATGGCTCATAATAAACAACAGTTGGACACTGTGCTGGGCGACCTGACGTGGAAAGCAGGCAGAGACCTCTCTGCGGCCGGTGCTGAGCTCCGACCGTCCACATGTCTGCGAATCCAGTCCGGGAAAGCAGGAGGCATAGGTTTCGGCAAATGTATACTCGTTCTAGAAAAAGTCAATCTGTCCCAGGCTACTTTCCCTCCCCGCTCCAGCAGCCCCCTCCACCCAGGCTCCTCTGCAGCCTGCTCAGCTGCAGACGCTACTTGACCTTGTTTATCACAGAACAGGAAGCGACTTCCAGGAATCAAGGAAAAAGGTGGGAACATCCGACTGTGCCGTCTCTAAATATTTCCGCTGTCCCGGATCCCCAGCCCCTCCAGCCCTCACCGCTGCTCAGCCAATGGAGGGTGAACCCTGGAGGGTGCCTCGGGCTTTCCTAAAGATGGGATGCAAGCACTCCAGCAGCACCCGAAGATGGGGCCTGACAAAGGCAGGAGGGATGATGCCAGCACAGGTGCCAGCAGAGGCTCACGTTTATGGAAGGAAATGAACAAACCAGGTCCAGTCTGGACCGCCCAGACAGAAGCGCATTGCAACACCACTCTGACACTGAGGCCAGAAGTTAGTGATGGGTGAACAAGAATGTTTAGATCTAGACTCTCAAAGGGTTTTAAAAAAAACATGCTCTCATCTCTACACAAGTTTGCAATCACCTCTAATCTGGCACTCTATTAACACTTCCACAAAACTACAAATGAAATAACGTGTAGCTTGTTCCCATCCCCTCCCCACAAGCCCCACCCACAGAAAACATCCTTCTCCCTCCATTTGGAAGGCCCCTTACGTGGCATTATTGCAGGAAAGGACCCTAAAAGGACACCTGAGTGCCCCTGCAGCCTGTCACAGAAGCCCAGCCGCCAGCTCCCAAGTGCAGGGTCCACCCTGACTCCCCACGCACGCTCTCGCCATCCCCTCCCCCTTCTTATTCTGGAGGGCCTCTGAAAATGTTCACCCAAGCCAGGAATGCGAATGTGTTGGTTGTTACTTCATTCCAAGTAACCCCCCCTAAAATTACAGACCCCAGCATATGCAGAAGAAAACAGTGGTGCTCGAACTCGCAGGAAAAGGATTCATTTCCAGCACCTCTGGTGGGCTGGGTCCCCAGTGGCCTTGCCAAATGACTGACAGTAGGAAAGCCTGAATGGCACCCAATTTTTTTCAGGAGCACCTCGTATGGTGTGGCATTTATCACAGGTGACGGAACGAGACCTCAGGCGGGTCTATGAGAAAAACGCTCCTGCCGCCAAGCTGCAGTTTTGAGCCTCAGAGCGGAAAGGCCGTGTGGGTGCGTCTGAAATCGCTCAGTGATGCCTGCCCAGGAACCGGCTTAGAAGGTCATTAAGAAGTGGTCCCTTTCTCCCTCCTCTCCCCCCACCCTGCCTGCCTCTCAGTGCCAGGCCCGCGGGGGTCATCAGGCTAACCCGGCCACCCCTGCAGGCACCACAGGGGTCCTGATCCGATGGTCCACAGCAACACAAACCTATCCAGCCATGCCACTAGACCCCCTCAGACTTAGGTATTCTGCGGAAGTTCTTAATAAATACTTTTATTTATTATTAAGCATAATGATTCACGTGTTTGTGACTTAGAAAACCACGCCCTCAAAGACTCCTTAAAAAAAAAAAAAGTCCTGTGACCTCAACAACAAAAATAGGGCCAAGCACACGGAACCAGGCACTTCTGGCAAACTTGCTTTCTTCTGGTCCCCCTCCCTCCCCCTCACCACCCCCCTCAACAAAACCGGGTGGGCACATTTGCCAGGACCTGTGGGTTTCATAACTTCAAGCCTTACTGCTTTAAAAAAATGAGGTAAGAAATTCCTGTCTGAAACTAAAACCGGCACATGAACCAAACCAAGGTCTTCCCTGCCTGTGGAGGCAGCCATTATTGCTCTAAGTTGGAGGGTTTTGTTTGCTTTTAATGTGTATTCAAAGTCCTTATTGCCATTCTGGCGGCCCGGTGGTCGGCCGAGGAGAAGTGGATGGGAAGGGGCTGGGTCGCCTGCCCCACGCTGGTCAGTCCCAACTGGCTGCCGGCCCGCGGCCCCCGCAGGTCGGGTAGCTGAAGGCCCCTGGTTCGGGGATCCCGGAGCAGCCCTAACAGCTGGGGGAGGTGGTGATGGGGCTGTGCAGGTAGGGCAGGCTGCTGGGGGCCGCGTGCACGCCCACCGACACCGGGAAGCTGAAGACGAACTGCGAGGTGGGCGTGGGGGTGGCCTTGCCGCGCTCACGCAAGGGCCCGGACGGGCTGGCGGCCTCCACTGCGCAGGACGTGGCCAGCACCTGCGACTCGAACTGCAGCAGCTGCCCCATGAAGCTGAAGTTGGGCGAGATGATGCTCCGTCGCTGCTTGACGAACTCGAAGGCCTCCTCCAGCCTCACGCGCTTCTTCATCATCAGGTAGGCCAGGCAGATGGTGGCCGAGCGCGAGATGCCCGCCTGGCAGTGCACCAGCACGCGCCCCCGGCACTCCTTCACCGCATCTGGGGCAGAGAGCACGCACCGTCAGTGTCCCCGCCCCCGCGAGTCCTGAGTCTGCCCCAAAGGCCAAGGCAGGTGGCCTAAGCCAGACTTGGGGCTGGAGGAAGAGGGGTACTGAACAGGTGTTGGAGAAGGGCGCATTCCCACTGAAGGAGAGGAGGGGGGCAACCCAGGTGGAGGGGCTGTGGAATCCCACCCATGCTAGGCTGTTTTGAGACTTAAGCAAACCCAGACACTACATTAGCACAATACGCATGCTAAACCCTAACACATATTCAAGGATTCCATTTGCAGAAAAAAAAAAAACAATGATGCAAGTCTCCCTTTCTTTGTCTTCCTCCCCATCCCAAGGGCCTTATCATCTATCTAGACCCCTGGAAACATGCAAGCTAAAGATTATTGACTCTAGAAGCCAACAGCACGGGAGCAACATCCGTCTTCCTGTCCCTGCCCAACAAACCACACAACATGCAACGGGCAGGCCTTCCTACGAGGGTAGGGGCGGGGAATGGGTACACCCGGGTAGCACCCCTAAGTCCCTCCTTCCCCCCACGAGATGCAAGTGGCCCTCTCATCCCGCCCACCCAGCCTCGGACCCAGCCCCCAGCCGGGCCAGCCTACCAATGTACTCGATGGCTTCCATGAACCAGGAGCTGATGTCCGCCTTGTGGTTGTCTTCCACGGGGATGCACTTGTACTGATAGTGCCCTTCGAAGTGGTTGGGGCAGTCCGAGGAGACGTTCAACAGGGCCGTGATCCCCAGGGCGTCCAGCATGTCCCTTCTGGCCGCATGGTAGGCACTACCGAGGTAGAGGAAGGGGAGGATCTCCACTGGACCCCCCTGCAGAGAGGGAAACAAAGGCCCCCCACATCATGAGTGCCAAGGCATCAGGGAAGGGGTTGGGGTGCTCGGGACAGGGAGAGGCGGCTTTCACAGGCCCTGGGGGGAATGCCCGTGGATCCAGCCCTCCGAGGTTTCCCCTCATCCTGCTGGGGCTCCTGAAGGAGGCAGTGGGCTCAGCGGGTCGCCGCGCTCTGCAGGAGAGCCAGGGCAAGTGAAGCTTTGCTCCAGCAGCCCACCCCCGCACCAGCCCCCCACTCCGTGGTAAACTGCTTGTCGTGCCACCATGACATTAAGAGGTTACACCTGCCCATCACCAGGTGTAAGTTTCAGGACCTATCTGGTTAGTGCATCAAACACAGGCCAGGTGGGCCTCACAGACAGGAGGGGGGATCTTGGCAAAAGTAGATAAATTGGGCTTAATGACGATTTTCTAAGTCAGGCCAACTGGAGCAATCTGAAATTTGGGGAGCAGGGGTGCCAGACTCTACGTTCATTCCCACCGTCTCAGTGAAAGGGCTGGGAAGGCGTGGGTTCTGAAGACATGCAATGGCTCACACTGGTTTTCTGGGGCAGGGCTGGCCCACCATGGGTGTCCGTTTGGCATGCACAGTCAACTTGTAAGGGGGGACAGCCTGGCCGCCCTAGGCTGGGGCTGGGGCCCTCGGCCACTCCTTCCCCTGGGGCAGGGCATACCCTTCCCACTTCAGCAGCCTCCTCCTTTGCACACAACTCCAGAGGCTAATCGGGGAGTTATGTCTTCCTATTGTTTTCTTAAGTGAGGGTAAGGAGAGAGGGAAGAGCGAGAACCCCACGGAATACGTGGAATTTATTTCTGACCTATCTTCCATCCCGTCCCGGGATCAGGGGTCACCACACTCTCCCCCGCTGAGGCACTGCACCCAAAGCCTCGGAAGAGCAGACCTCTGGACGGAAGCCGCCCATGCACACCTGGTCGTGCAGTGGGGTCCCACAGGAGCCGCAGCCCAGGTCCAAGGACTCGGCCGTGCTGGGGGGCACCGCGGGCGGGATGGCTGCCAGGGCCTTGGTTTTGGAACAGAACTCTGGATACTCAGAGGAAAACCTCTCATAGCCACCTGTAGAGGAGAAAGAAGTTCAGGTTAGTGGGGTCACGAGGCCAGCAGGAAGCCACAAAGAACTTGAATCCCATCCCTGTCCTGAGGAGAGCTGCTGGGAGGCTGGGGCCTGGCTGGCTCTACATTTGCCACTGGGTGGCGCCGTGGGACCACAGATAATGGCCTGGACCCTTATCCAAAGATGCGGAATCCACAATGAGCCAGGACTGCACGCTGAAACCTGGAAGGAAAGCTTTATGGTCAAGACTGGTTTGGGACACAGACACACAGAGGGAGATGCGAGGCGGGTATGCAGAAGGCAGTCTGCCCAGAAAAGGTCCTTAGGGTGACAAGGTGCGGAAGAGAGAAAGGCCACTGTGGGGTTCCAGGACAGCAGCTGGGCCCTGGGACCTGCAAAGATGTCTGTCCCTCCCAAACTTGAGCCCCTGCTGTGGAGAGGTTCAGTGTGGGAGAGAAGGAAAAAAAGAGAACCCTGGCACCAGCCCCTCTGGACCTCAGCAACAGAGCAGATGCCCGTCTCTCCGCCTTGTGGCCAGCTGTCCCGCCAACAAAAGGCAGAAAGGAGAGGAAATGCACTGAAATCTAAATAGATCCCTCTTGCTACATCCAGGTTTGGGGCAAGGGAGGATTTCCTGACCTGCGAGTCGCTAAGCCCTGGAACAGTCCACTGTGGGATCACCTTCCGGGGAAGGGAGTTTACACACGAGGAGACACACTCGTGTGGAAGAGCGTCAGCACCGATCAGCGCGGCGCGGCGCTGGCTGGGCAGAGGCGGGCAGGAAGCGCCCCAGGAAGACGCGCTCGGCCTCCCCCCTCTGATTTCCTCGTAATCTCTGGGGCTGGGCTCTTTGGCTGACTTGCCGTCTCCCGTCAATGTTTGTTTGGCCCTGCTTGTATTTTCACTGTAGGACCAGAGAGGGCCTGGAAATCAATTCGGTTGGTGAAGGGGGTCAGAACTGCCCGTTATGAAGTAAGCGAGCCCTGGGGTTGTGATGTCAAGCAGGGTGACTGGTTATTAATGTTCTATCTATCACATACGTGCTGAGGGAGGGGACCTTACAGCTCTCGTCATAGGAAAAAATGCTCAACCATGTACAGACACAGAAGCTGAGTACACTGAGTGTGGTGATCACTTTGCAATACAGTCAAGTATCAACTCGTTACCCTTCACACCTGAAACTACTGTTACTTGTCAACTGTACCTAATTTTTAAGAAAACCCACAAACTTACATAAAAATAATCCAGCAGGGCCTGCGTGTTTTGGAACCACCATTCTAACGGACCCATTCCGTGGATGGGGGTGTACGCAGCTAGTACCTTAAATCTTTATGACTACGTGATTCGGTGCCACTGTCCCCTATAACGTTCATTAATAATCTCCCAATAGGCAGACATGTGACAGTTAGTCAATTTCTTGCCCAGAATCCAGACCCGAGGAAGAGCAATGATTCTTTGCCACATCACGAGGCTCACAGAACAGGACAGACATTTCTTCCTCCCCGACCTCCCTCCACTCCCTCCGTCACAGGGATATAAATGGATCCCTTTAGGGTCACAGGCACCTGCTCCTGCTGAGTCATAATGACCAGCCTCCCGGGGGAGAGAACCTGCTACGGCAGCCAGTTTCAGTCGTGCCGGGGGCCTGATCTCAGGAGCAGCTCTCCCTCCCTCCCTCCCTGTCACCGTCCTCTGCTCCTTCTTTCCTTCCAAAGCTGCAGACAAATGCAGGGAGTAGAGTTTGGGGGTGGGGTAGGGTGGGGGGGAGAAGAGCCACCAAAGCCCTCCAGCTGAAGTCCTCTGGGACAGGAAACTGTGGACGCTTCCCCCAGAGTAGAAACGGAAATAGATCGATCGGCAGACGGCGTGGAACACCTACATAACAAGTCATCACGTGTTCCTCGGTACACTTCTACAGGCTTTGACGTCTTCAAAATAAAACGATCCCTGTGTTTGTTACATAATGAGCTACTGAATCATGTTTCTCCTCCCCCAGAGAAATGGAAGGACGGAGTGGTGCCCTCCAGAAGCTCCTCGCCGAGGCAGTCAGAAGAGCAGCGCCCACCCAAAAGCAAAGCAGGGAGTCACAGGAGGGCCGGGGCCAGGCTCCAAGGTCGCAGAGAGGAGCCCCCTGAGGGCAGCAGAAGGAAGGAGGCTTGGAGTGGCTGAAACAATGTTCTTCCCGTGGCTGAGGAGGAGCAGGGCAGGGCACCAGACTGAAGTCCGGGGAAGGGCACTGCCGTTGCAGACACGCACACAGGCCCAGGGGCTGCCGCTGAGCCTCACCAGCCTTGCTCAGCCTCCGCCTCCTCCTCCTCCGCCTCCTCGGAATGTGATGAACCGTCCTTGCCTGCAGTCCTTCGAGGGCTGATCAGGGAACAGCCAGTGCTCGGCGCCTGGCCTCGGGGAGACACATAATGAAGGTTTCCTTGTTAGGCACCTGCAAGGGGACGCCAGCATTGCTGGCAGCTTGCCAGGCTTTGGGCCGCCGCCTCCTCTGCCTCCTCCGCCTCCTCCTGGGCTTTCCTGATTTTTTCTAGCTGGAGTCTGGAGGCCAGGGAGTTACATAGCAGAAGGGCAGGTACTGCACTTCCTGAGCTGGAGACCCTCTCCCAGCCAGGGACAACTGCGGCACCACGTCACCGCCCCCCCCCCCCCCCCCACACACACACACAGACTTCCCCTCTCCTCCATCATCAATCAACCAAGGGGCAGCAGAACCCGGCCAGCTGCTGACCCCGGGGTGGGGGACAAGCCGGAAGGGACCCGAGGCCAGGCCCACAGCGGTCGGTGAAAGACACCGTTAGAACAGAAAAATGACGGCCGGAAAGTCAGTTCCCTCCTGCAGACCTTTAGAGAACCAGTACAAAGGAATGCAGTGGGTAAGTCGATCGGCCTGAGGGACAGAAACAGGGGAAGGGTCCCATCCATGCCAGTGGCAGCAATGGAAGGGGTTTTCCCTCCTGAGCTGTCGTTTTTTGAGAGGTGGGGGGGGGGGGTCTGTGGCTGGTTGTCACAAGGAGCATCACAACAGGAGTGCCTTCTGGGGGGCCAGGGGCTGCCCTGGGGGCTGGAACATACAAGCAGCAGTGTAGGGGGAAGGGTGCCCAGTGAGGAACCCTTGAGGCCACCCCCCACAAGGCCAGAATGTTCATGCAAAATCCCCTGATCAAAACACTGCTGATGCTCTGCACTAGATCTCTTGGACAAGAGATCTGCACAAGAAACTTTTGCTTCTGCCCAGGACGTTCCTAACTACAGGTCGTCATGCAGGAGCCGTGACCTGCATTTTAAATTTCATGAAATAAAACAGAAACTACTGGAATGCATCACATTCACATATGGTATCATTTCATGGAACTCTGGTTTCAGGTGTGTCTGTATCCCTGTTCTGGGTCAAGACGGAAGTCAAAACGAATTCTTACTGTAGATGGGGTCAGAAGACTGCTCCCAGACTTCTCACTGCCTCCCCACCCCCACCCCGACCCCCAAATCTGGGCAAACACCGCAGCCACAGCCCCGTGAGTGAGGGTTTGATTCAGATCACCAACTTCTATCTGTAAGTTATGAGAAGGAAGGCTTATTCCAGCCAGATACCGGTGGCTGGCTGGGACGCGAGCCTCCCGCAGGTGTGCAGGCAGGAGGGCACGGGGGCGGGGCACAGGGGCGGGGCCGGCGAGAGCGGGAGCAGGCAGGGCTCTCCCGACTGTGGCCGTCCTGCCCTCCGAATGGAAGGTTCCTGACACCCATTCCTGAAACCCTCCCCATGTTCCACAAACCCAAACGGCCAGGACTTACTTATGGGCAAACTGCAACCTGACATCAGGTGCCCAGATCAGCACTTCTATCTCCTGTAAACAATTTCGTAAAAGACCCCACCTGCCTTTTGTACGCCGTATTAAATGTCATCTCACAACATGCTGACTCATTTTGACCTGTTTTCTCCATGTTGTTAATTAATAACGTGCTTCGTAGTGTTCAAGTTCTCCTTTTCTCACCTGAATTTTAAAACTGGAGAGGGCGGGGAGGGAATGTAATTTTTCACCCAACTTCCTTGAGGAATAACCACACCCAGTTCAACTCCACACTGTCCTGTGTCTCCTGCACATCTGCACCCAGCAAGGCCCTTTTCGGAGTTTACTGACAAAGACCGGCTGGCCTCCCGTCCACGGTCCCTGCAGGGCTGGGACCGTGGGGGTGGGGAGTGCTTCAGAAAGGAGGAGCCGATGCAGGGCCGCCCCATCACCATTAACAGGACCCTTAACGCGGCCTGTGATGGGGCAGGCTGTCACCAATGGGGACCAGGGTCATCAGTCTCAATGGGGCTGCTGCTTTGTCCCCACAGCACTCGGAACACCCCCGTACAGTCAGGGTTCATGGCCTTGCTTCCCGAGCCATCACAGCCATACAAGACTGATGTTGCCCAGCAAGAAAACCCGGGGTCATCTGAAGGTCACTTGGCTTTGAGAACTTCCCTTGAGGTGGGTGTTGACTTCATAAATGCCCATGTAACCCTGGGAAGTTTTTTTAGTTTTACTGAAGTGGACTCCCCACACCTCGAGACACCCCGCACGGACCTGCCAGTCCAGGGAAAGCTGGCTGGACACCTAATGCCACCCTCGGGCTCGGTCTTGTTTGTGTCCCTCCGAGTCAGTCCTGCGCCATCTGCTTCAGTCAGCAACTGGCTTCCGCTCCCGGGTGAACTCTTCTTCCTGCCCAGCTTGCCCTTCGGTAGGCGGGAACTGGCTCCCGGTAAGGAGGAAACTGGCTATCTGGTTTCAGACGTTCTGATTTTTCAAAGAAATGTCTGGCTCCTTAAAAAAGGCCACCCTCTTCCTCCCTCAGGGCCTGGACGGCCCGTCTGGGTGGGTGCTGCCCACCTCTCCTATAACCATCCAGGTCAAGCACAAGGGAGCTGGGATGGGCTTAATAGTGGTCAAGAGTTCTCTCTCAATGTACACAGGCACCATCCTTAGTTCTGTGTTGGAAGCACGCAATTCAAATGAGGCAGAAAGTAGTAAGTTTGCTTCAATCATTACAATTCTGTAAGAAATTACACTAAGGGTTAGAAATTACCTTTGGGGCCTACCACTTTTTGAAATTCTAACAGTCCTTGGCTGTCACAGGCATGCTGCCATATTTGTATGGAGAAAGGCCAGTCCATTTGGGTGGAGGCAGTGTGCAGCCTCAGCATTCCCTCCGAGCTGTGACACTGTTGGATGACGCTGACCTCACCTCCTGGGGACCTGGGATGAGCCGGACGAATGGAGGTAGAGACAGGGCAGGAGCTAGTCACCAGAATGACCAGGGCTGCTGGTTCAGCCCCCTCACACCCCCATATCGTTGGTGATTGGTCTTAGTAGCTGTTTCCTACGGGAAGGGGGGTGCCAGGGTCTCTGTCGTCGGGCCTGGGGCCAGAGGGTCCAAATGTGCCCGCGTGGGGGGAGGAGCTGGGGTGTCCAGGTTTCCCCCCCCAATTTCTCAAAACAGCTCCAACAGAGCTTTGAAATCAGAACTTGAAACTAGACAAAAGTCATGAGCTGAGATTAATTTTAGACAGAAAAAAAAAGATACTGTTTTTATACCTGAAATCTGCATAACAGACTGATTTGTTACTCGGTGAATATGGTAGGTAAAGAATGACTTCTCCCTGGCTGGCGTAGCTCAGTGGATTGAGCGAGGGCGGCGAACCAAAGTGTCGCAGGTTCGACTCCCAGTCAGGGCACATGCCGTGGTTGCAGGCCACGGCCCCCAGCAACTGCACGTTGATGTTTCTCTCTCTCTTTCTCCCTCCCTTCCCTCTCTAAAAAATAAATAAATTTTTTTAAAAAGAATGACTTCTGTTAGAATAAGAAAACTCTCTTTTAGTCTTTCTCTAGTGAAGGGGGGTGGGGGGGGAGCAGCACCTAGAACCAGGAATCCAAGTATAAAGGAGAAAAGGATTTGAAAGGAGCGGCGCACTGCAATAAAATCTGAAAAGCTGAAACTTCTAAACTGTCCCAAAAAACGTCTCACGGGATTTTAAACAAAATTGGCTTTTTAAAAAAAAGTTTACCCCAATTGGAATTTTACTAGCAAAAAAACAAATAATTTAGTGATTTGGGGTTATCGATTTTAGCGAAACTTGGCTATTATTACAAAATGCCAAAACTGTGCAGCATTTTGCTGATATTAAGTAAAATTTACTCGTTAACTATGAATTCTTGCCTGTGGTATCACTTACTACTGTGGTAACTACTTGCACCAAGTAGCCCACCAACTGCTCTTCAAAGAGACAGAAATAGAAAAATCAAACTTTTACATGTAATTTATTGGTAAAATTGGGTAGCCACTGGCTAGGAAGGATAATATAACTTCTGAAAACACCCTGCGTTTTTTTTCAGCCCCCTCCAGCATGGCGGACACCAACAATTGGTGGACTGGCTCAGTGTCTAACCACTCCCATTCCACGCCCACCACCACCCGTGGCATGAGACTCGGAAGGCCCATTAGCTGCAAAATCAAATGAACAGCTCAGGCAGGAACCAAATTACCCAACCCCTAATCCATCCAGGCATTTTACTAAAGATAATCTAAGAGTGTTTCCAAAGTTTCCTTTTAGTTCCCCATCCTCTCCGTACAATGCACATCGCCTCCTCCACTCTGCTTCTTTCCGATGGGGATGCGAGAGGCTTTCATTGGTCTCCTCCCCCCACCCCCCAGGCTCGGTCCCCACGGGGGCGGGGGGGGGGGGCAGACACTGCCCATCTTTCTGCCCTCCCTGCTAAAAGCCTTTTCCAGTAAGAGGCAAAGAGAACAAGAGGAACTGTGTTAAGACAGCCTCAGCTTAGCACATACACGAAAATAAGCCCAGTTAAACAGACTGTGACCCAGTTAGCCACCTCAAAGATACTCTACCAACCTCTACAGAACCAGCGGGGAGTGCCACCTCTAAGAATTTCAGGCAGCGGCTGCCAAAGGCAGGCTCCCTTTGCCTATGAAGATCCGGCTGAGCCTCCACTGCCTTCCCCCATGGCCTGTTCCTGCAGAGACAAGTTCAACCTGAGACCCAGAGTGTCAGGCCCAGACACTCTGCATCTCAGGGGAAAGACTAGATGTCTGTCGACTTTGAGGTGCACAGGGGTCGTCCTCCCTGCCCGCACCTGGTCCGACCAAAGGAGGCAGTGCAGGCCTCAGGAGGCAACACCCTTAGAATATTCACTGCTTTTCCGTGGGCCAGGCACCTCGCCAACCGCCAGGGAACTGGCATTTTACTCAGAGGCTCCTGTCCTACTCAGTCTTTGTATTAGCATTTGCCTTGTGCAGAGAGCGGCTAGTCCGCAGGGCGACTCTCAAGAATTGATCTGGCCCCGGGCTCTCCGGATGGGATTCGGGCGAACTAGGGAGGTGCCGCAAGACGGGGACCTTAAAAATATGCCTCCCTCCCCGGCAGCGGGGCCTAAGTGCCTGTGCGCTAGGAAGCCCAAACGCCAAGGTCCCCAAGCTGCCGCTCTAGGGGTTCCCCTCCGGATTTCTTTCAAGAAGAAAAACAAAACAAAACAAGCCCCGACCCCACGTGGGTCTGCCCTCCCAGGAAAGGGGTGCGCAGGAGCTCTAAATCAGGAGGGGCCCAGGGAAGGGTAGCATGGAGAACCACCCGGCCATACCCGGCCACTCCAAGGGACTTTCGTCTCAAAGCAGTTTCTGTTATCGTTCCCGCCAGGACCAGGCAAGGGCGGGCGGGCGGGCGAGCTCAACTGCCTATACCCCACAGAGGCGATCTAACCAGCACCTGGACGCGGGAGCACGCGGGGTTGTGCGCCTGCCGCGGGGCGCCTGGTCGTTTCGGTGCTGGCCCTTTCCTGGCACTTTCTCTTAAAGCGCTTTGAGGGGAGGGGAGTTGGATTTGGGCTCCACCGGAGGTGCAAAAGGCAGCCTCACAGAGAAAGAAAAATCAGCAAAATCGCCTTAGTAGTTCAACCACAGGTCAACAGCAGCGTTTCCCCAGCAGCTGACAGGTCAAACGGCCAGGAAACAACTGCGGAGAACAAAGCCCCCCGCTGTTCGCCAGGGCCAGCCCGGCCCGTCGCCACTGAGCACTTCTGTGGTGCCTTAGGAAGGGGCGGGGGGAGAGGTTTCCGCCCTCCCCCCCCACCATCGCTCTTCCTCTGGGGTGAGCAGGTCCCGAGAGGAAAGGAAAGGAGGGAGGGGGCGAGGGGCGCCGGCAGGGGAGAACCGAGCGGCTCTTTGAAGGCCGGGTCTGAAACGCCTCTGGCTTCGGAGGCGAGGACTGGACAAGAGAGAAAGAATGTACGGAATGTAGCGGAGGGAGGCAGGGGCTCCGCGCGGTCAGGGATGCGTCCCGAGGCGCCCCCCGAGCGAGGGCCGCCCAGCACCGCGGCCCGGCCCACCCGCAGGTGGCGGCCCGCGCACCGTTCCTCCAGTTACGTGGACAGCACGCGGTCCTTGCTCGGTTTCTTACTTCCACATTTGACAAGACCTCTCTTCCCCTAAGAGTCTCATCAGGGTTGTCTTTAATGAAGCACGCACCGCCATTGGATCTTCGAGAATCGAGTCTGAACAAAAGGTCGTACTTCTCTGCCGCCTGAATATTTAGAAGACACTATCTTGCCTTGCTTTCCCTAAACACTCACAACCCCCTCTTCCAGCGCCGGGAGCCTGGGTCTAGCCCGGCACCGGAGGAGTTGGCCACGTTCCAGGAGGATCTCGGAGTTGGACAGCAGGGGCGGAGATACAGATCGCCCCACGCAATGTCCGAAACCCGATCTTCCTTTTGCATTTCCGTAGGGCTGGTTTCCGATGGAAACAGCGCTCTGTCCTTCACCCCCTTCCCCACCTCTCGGGTTCTCGGGTTCAGACTCAGTGCAGGGCCACGGCACGCCAAACCAACAGGACTAACCTGTCCCCACCCGCAGAGTGGCACTTGGGAGTACTTCCCTAGACTTGAAGGTGGGCAAAGCAGAAGAGGCATGCCGCCCGCGAGGCCAGACGGTTAGCGAGTGTAAACAAATGCAAAACAGCCAGGAAGGGCGCAGAATTGCAGGTGACAGAGAAAATGAGCCCTCGCTGCCCTGAGGACTTCAGGGGCTCGCACTGGAACACAAACGCACCAAACTCTTCAAACCCGTGCACACCAACACGCACAATGCAGTACGAGGGGATCCCCGCCGCCGCGAGTCCCTCCGGGGACTTCTTCCCCCAGCCACCAAGGCGCAGGCCGCCAAGCGCCGCTACACCTCCCTTCCAGCTCGCGTCCCTGCGCTCGCCTTTACCTTTGAGCAGGCAGATGTCGGTGCGCTCGGCGTTGCGGCGCAGCGCCTGTACTACCAGCGACACAGTGCTGTCCTCGCGGAGGCTCTCGGCGCGCGGGCTGCGCTCGTCGTAGACGATAACTGCCGAGTAGAGGCCGGAGCGCAGGCGGGCGCGCACCTCTTCCTCAGCGGGCAGGATCTGCTCCAGGCTCACGGAACCTTTGGCCCGCCGACGCACGATGGTGTTGCAGCGCACGTTGACCGAGCCTCGTATGTAGCCCGCGCTGTGCGCCAGGAACGGTCTGCAGTCCAGCAGCAGGCACTTGCCGCCGCTCACCAGCCCCAGGGCGCCGCCGCCGTTCTCGTCCCGGTTCATCAGCCTTTTGAGCACGCTGCAGTCCATCTCCCGTAGCTCCTCCACGGTCACCATGGTCGCCGGGAACAACGGCTGCAGGGCACCAGAGCAGGCGAAGAAGAGCCGGGACAGCTGGGCTACAGAAAGGGCTCGGCAAGGGCTAAGGGAGGGAAAGTGGCCGCAAACTTGGCACTCGGGGGCTCCCACAGGCGACCTTCTTGTCCCGAGGATCCTTCCTTCGGCAGTCTCGCGGTCACATAGAAGTCCGAGTGGACTCGGGCACCAAGCACCACCGCGCGCGGTGCAAGGGGGAGGCGACGGTGGAAGGGTCAGTGTTTACGAGAGGGCCAGGGGCTCCCTTCTGTTGTGGTCTCTTTGTATTTTGTCCGCTGCGCTGCTCCAGCCGCCGCTAATGCCGGCGCTGCTGCTCGGTCGCGGTTCTCCACGAGCAGCCGGAGCTCGGCGCACTGCCCCGGAGTTTCCTCCTCGGCTTAGAGATTTATTAACGCTCCTCCGCTCTCCCCCGGGAGGGGGCAGATTCAGTACTACCTGGAGAAGCTCCGCCTCTTTCCATTCGCGGCCTTGCGCCCGGCCGCCCCAGCGCTGGCTCCCCCGCCCCATCCCTCCTCCCTCCTCCCAGCCACTCTTCCTCCCCCACCTCCTCCCTTGCGCGTGAATGGAGTGCCGGCCGCTCGCGCCCAGTCACGAGGACGCGACGTCACAAAGAGCGGAGTAAACAGGGCGCTGAGCGTCTGTCTCCAGGCCCATTCATAAAACCGGGACCTAGAGGAAGAGGGAGGAGGCCCGCGACCCGCAGGCTAGCTGCTCGCCTGGACTTTGTGAATGGAGTGCTGGGCACCTCTAGCTGACAGCCACCGGCCGGAGCCTTGGCGGCGAGCGATCTACCCTACTCGAGTCTCAGAGCAGCCGCTGCACCCCGGCTGCGGCCTTTGGCTTACAGAAATTAGCTGGCCGAGAAGACGGCCTAACGGAGGCTAGGGGTCGGTATTGATCCCTTTTACTTCCGTGCTCCCCCTCCCCCAACCCTTAACATCCTTGCTGGCGTCCCCCATACCACAGCGGGGGTTGGGGCACCGTGGCACCGCTGCTCCCCCCCCCTCCCGGCAGAGTCTGGGACTTCCTCTTCCCGGGCTTACGGAGTGCGTTCGGTCCGGCTAGTCGTTTTTTCAGATATGATACTTCTGACGTTAGCTTATGCATTAGCGTGATCGATTTTCATCTTAAGCCATTAAATCAGCTTTATAGCTTCCCGAGGACGTGGGCAAGCCCCAGCTTAGAAGATGAAAAAAGAAAGCCCTCCCGCCCCGAAGTTCAGTAATGGGAGCGAGGTGTTGGGTCTCTTGCTTTAATACCCAGAGGGAGGCATTCATCGCCGGCGTGTATTGTAGTTCCTCTGGAGGAAGGCAGGGGTGCCACTCCCGTCCAGGCTTCCTAAAGATGTTTGTTTAACCCTGGTGGGGAAAAAACGGAAACAAACCCAAAAGCCAATGTGTTTGCCTGTTGGAAAAGTCGCCACCCCATCTTAAACATGTGCGAATTGTCTTCTCCTAAGAAGACAATTCATTTCCTAAAATCATTTCCTAAAATGATAACGAGGGTCCAGATATGGTGGGAAGCTAGACCCTGTGAAATGTACGCGTCAAGGATTTAGTAAGCTCAGGGGCCGATTCCGAGCTCGGCATCCCTCTTTCCAGGTCATGTAGCATTTTTTTTCCCGCCCCCAGTTTTACTTATGCATTTAATTTCCCAGAACCTGCTTTTGGCAGGGGGCTTGTGCGCGTTGCGATGTGGACACGACAGAGGCCAAAAATTATTCGCCCGACATCTTGCCAAGTCTTGTTAGTGAGAAATAACCCGCGAGCGAGAGAATTGCAAGGCTCTGTCACGGCCTCGGTGGCTGCGGGATCGAGTCCCGCACTCCAAGTCCCTGTGTGCAAGCCCCACCCAGGCCTCGAGAGCTGCGGAACCCTTCGAGTCCCTCCTGCCCCCACTGGCCTTCCGCCTCGCCTTTGTTCCCGGCTGAGAAGCGCTGCTGATCTCCCACCTCCGGCCCCCAGGGCGACCCCTCCACACCCCTCCCGCGCGCCCTTAGGGCCTCTACTTCCGAGGCCTGCAGCTCGAGCTCCTCTCCCACTGCGCGGGGTATCTCCCGACACCCTGGCCCCAGGGATCTTCCTTTAACCCAGGGCTACAAAATGGCTCAGCAGGGCACTGCATTGGACCTGTGTCTACTTAGAATTTAATCTTTTGTTCATGGTACTTTTTTTGGCAATTCCATTAATTGCTTCAAAAAGCATTGCATTAAGATACTTATTTTGACCACTGACATTTTGGTGCCCGTTAAATTTTGCGCCCGAGGCGCGTTGCTCACTTTAGTCCCAGCCCTGGAAGGGGCCACAACTGCGTTTCAACCGAGGCCTCCGGGTGGCAGAACCTCGAGCGGCGGGCACCGCGGGTGTGAGGCCCGCAGTCAAAGGCTCATTGCTTGGCCCCTCCGGTGGGGAGGGGTTTGTACTCCCTCCGGAGGGCAAAGGGGGCCTCGGTCGGTTCCTCCTAGACTGATATGGCTGTGAGGCTGTGTCTAAAGCCTCGCTCTCTCGGGTACAGCCGGAGCGCGCATTTCCAAGGAGTTCCCCACGCTCCGACCGTCCAGGACTCATCCGCTTTCCTTGGAAGCCCAGGAATCCGGCCCCTGCCAGGCCCGCGAGCCCGGACCTCTCCCTACCCAAGGAACGCCTACCCCTTTTCAAGGGCTTGGACAGAACGTCTCTTTCGAGAACCTCTCAGTCGCAGGCAGATCCTGGCCAATTTCGCACTTGTCGCAGGAGCTGGGGAGATGTCCCTGGGCCGTACTGGCCCCGCTCTTCTAGTCTTTGTCTCCCCGGCGCAGGGGTCTCTCCCCGCGGGCCGACCCCCGACCATTGCTCACGTGGCCCTTAAATAATTCAAATCCGGAGAAAGGAAAATACCCACGGAACAGGACTTGCTTTCTGCACCTGACAGTAATCCGTGGTGGCGAAACCCGTAAATCCCGCGGGCGACTCACACGGAAGGGGGTGTGGGCGGGCGCGCGCGAGCGATTGTGTGTCCACGTGTGCGTGCCCGCGCCTGCGCTCCCGCACCGTGGAGGGGAGCCGCAGATTCGTACTGAATGGATTGAAGCCAAGAGCCGCTTTCATTAGGAATGCGAATGCCTGATTTTTGAAAGAGACTAATTTTTTTAAAAGCCTCTGTCCCTCAACTCAGGAATTTGCCATCACTTGTGTGAGTTTCGGTGAATGAGGTTAAATTGTGTATTTATCCGGATCCTTTGTAAGCACCTTAGGAAAAAAAATTTTTTTTGGTATTTTGTGGGGGCTTTTGGAACACAGTTAAAGGACTACGTGGTTCGAGCTACTGGATACCGGCAACAGAGAAGATTAAACTTGTCTCAATTAGTGTGCAAGCTGAGAGTGGAGCACTTAATCATTTTACACAGGAACTTGTGAAACAGCTTGTCAATAAGTAGATCTTTAAAAAAACAGGCATTTGGAAGGAAAACATTGTGTGAATGTCATTTCAAAGTTAATTTAATTAAAGTGTATCTGCAGAAGATGGGATTGCCCAGGGAGAGAAATTTTATTTGTATTCAGCAGTAAACCTCCAGGTGAAAATACTCTAAAAATTCACTGTGACAGGTCAATCCAACTTCTTTTTCATCAGGCAGTCCTTACACCGACCTTATTAGTCACTGTCAGGACTGGCAAAACCTAGGTTCTTGTTTAAGAACATTTCTTTCCAATTAGGCAGCTGTGTGATCTGGGAATTTAAAGCCCAGAGTAGGATCCCCAGAGAGGACTATGGCTTCTATTCCGGTTTGGATGCCAACCTCTGACTCACTGCCCTGTCCCCAAGTGCCTGAGTAAGACTTGCCTGAAAAATCAGTAATGAGTTAATCCGGGTGGCAATGGTAAGAAAGGCCCTGTGCATTCCTCTTTTCTGAGCGGAGAGGGTGGCTGGCTCGTTACTCTCCAATGGAACAGGAGTGAGCCCTTTTGCATTTTGTGTGGGATGCTGGCTGTACTTCTTAGATCAGACGGTGGGTTGGGAATCCTCAAAAGAACTGGGAGGCTGTCTCCTGCTCCTCAAACCAAAGAAGTCTGTGCCCGCTGTGTGTTCTCAAGCAACGTGGGTCAGTGGGCTGAGGAATGAGTGTCCTTCCCTGCCCACCTCTGGCCACCAAGTCCGGACCCAAAGCAATGGAGAATCTGCAGCATTTAGACTGAACATCACCAAACAACCTCACAAAACATGGCCTGAAAGTTTCTAAGTCCTGCTCGTGTTGCAGATCTTTTCAATAGCCTGCATTTATTGTCTATGCATGAAATTAACTGTACCACAGAATGACTGAAAATGCTAGGTTTCTCACCTAGGGTCTCTGCAGAAAAGCTGAATATATTGCTTCATTTGCTCCTTTGAAAACCTTTTAATCTAGGCTATGCCTCCATCTAGCTTACTGAATTTGAACAAGACAATCTCCCCGGGCCTGAGTTTCTTCATCTGCAAAGGAGGAGCTCAGCCAGGACAGTGTGGCAGGTCTAGTCTGTCCCCAGCACTGTGTAACCCAAGCAGGAGAGCTCTCCATCAACCCCAAGCCCGAGCTTCAGCAGCCACCTCCCCTCCCTTCCCAAAGCCAAGTGCACTAAAATGCTACAACACAACAAAAGCTCTCTAGCTCTTTTCTCTTTCTGTCCCACTTCTGCTCATGGAAAGCAAAGTTGGTGTTTTTTATCTGTTTAGTCAACTGATATGTCCCACACAATTCTTCAGCTTTTCAAAATCAAGTTTTGAAACCAAATACTCTTCCAAATGCAAGATAAAAATGGGCTCAGTTTTTGTTGTTTTTTAATCAGTCTAGCTGTGAACATTTTCCTATTTATTCAGCAAATACGTTAAATTAGATGGAGGAAGGAAATTTGTGTGAAACGTTGACTGTGCCTTCAAAGAGTTTATAACCCAGGAGGCCTTGGTCAGGGTGTAATTGCCACAATATGTTACGGTAGCCAGGATCTGAAACTATCATCCGGGAAGAACAAAAAAAAGGTTAGGGGAATTCAGTCAAGACGGGAACTGAACTGTGCTGTGGGACTAGGGAAAGGAAAGGAAAAAATCCGTTGTGGATAAAATGCATTCCGTCTACTTGCATGCTGTCCTTGACTTTGATTCTCATAGTCCTTACTCTTCTCTTTTTTCACTTGTATCCCACCTCTGATATTCATTCTGTCCCTGTGCCTTCTACCTTTCCCTTCCATTTGTCCGCTTCACTCTTCCCCAGCACAGCCTGGTCTGCCTGCTAAACCCGGATGAGTGATTGGTCCGGAGCCGCATGGGAGCCAACACGAGGCACAGGCTCTGCCGGAAATCTGTGCCACGGACAGTGCAATGACCTACCTGCGCGACGACCCCGGCGTGGGCCCAACTCTGTACCTTGCATTGTCATGTTAAGCAGATCAGTTGTTCTATACCTTAATATTACCATCTCTACAGCTAAAAAACATA